GATTAGAAAAGTTGGATCAGTACAAAGAGAATCAACTGCTTGATACCGTACAAACAATCAACTGCTTAAATGCTGTATTAGAATGACACCTCACTTAATATTACTTAATATCAAATTAAAAATCAAATTAAAAAATCAAACTAATTTGAAACAAAAGTCTTTCGAATGAACAAAGATTTTGGAAACTTTTAAAATCGAGTCCATCGCGGGGCACAACACCGCTTCAGGCAATCCCTCGATGACGACGTGGTAGGACGAGTCGAGCTGCTTGGCCAGTCCGACGTCGAACGCAAAGTCGGGCGGTCTCCATCGTGGCGGTGGCAACGGGTGAAGCGGGCGGTAGCCAGGGGACATCTCACCGTCGAATATACCTCAAACTTGGGTAATTAAACCCAAGAATGAACAAAGACTTTCGGAAACTTTTAAAAGTCGACTTTTCATCCCTTTTTCAACCAATTCATAATCGTTTAGACTAAGAAAAAAAGCGTTTTTACTGAAATTCTTTTTACAAAAGCCTTCAATTTCAATTTGAAACATCAATTTCCCCGAGTGCTTGTTGTTTGCTTGCTTTTTTCCACCAATAATCCCCGGCGGATAGCCAAAATTTTGTGTAGTGTAGTCTGACTAAAAAAAATTTGCACTTTTTTGATTCAAATTTTTGTTTTCTTTCTTTTTGAAAAAGTTCTCGAAATGATCTTTATTTGTTTTTTGCCACACTTTTTGCAGACAATAAACATTTAAACAATAAACAAACGCTCAATAAACAAATCTTTTATGAGATCAGAAAACGGACAATAAATGAGAGAGTACCTGTACTTGGCTTGGCTCTTTTTTTTCACCTGTAAATAAGCAAATAAGTCTTTTTGTGTGTTCGAATCGCTAGATACTTTGTTTGAACTTATTTTGCCTTGAAATTTCGTAAACAAGCTGAATATCTTTTTGTTATTTTGTGTCTAGCGATCGGCGGTGCTTCGGGGAGGGAATTGTAATTGAGATTTGAGATTTGAGATCTACAAAACGAGTTGATCGAATTGAAATCATCAAATTCTTTTTGAGGAATACAATACAAGCAATATATAGGCTAAAATAGGCTAATTTGGGGACAACTTTGTATCTTTTGAGCTGAATTAAAGTGCTTAAACGTTTAAGATGAGTACGTCATTTTTAACGTGCTATTAGACTGTCCAGAAACATCCAGACTTTTCGTTCCTTTTCGTACTTCCGCTTAAAACCAATACACCAATTGAACAAAAGCTTTTTTCATTAAAAAGGCCACTTATTGACCAATTTTTCATTAAGATAACACTAAAACGAGTTTAAAATGTTTGATTTTTGGATTTTTTTGGAAGCGTGAAGATGGGTAGTCAAAAAGGACGGCTCGATAATGCGATTTAGACAAACTTTAGCGAAGAAAACCTATCGCGGTGTCAATAGATAAAAGATCGAGCATAAAAAGTTCGGAAATTAACAATAAACACTTTTTATTTGGAGAAAACTATAGGTTAATTGGTGAATTTGTTATTTTTCAAAGGAAGTATGAAAAGGACCGGAAAGACTTTCTGAAAAGCCTAATATAAAATATCTATTTATCTATTTTATACCTTATACCAGTGGAAAAACGCTCGCGTTTTCCACGGAGGAGGTTCACGTTTTCCACGCAATCTAAGCCCCTCCCCTTTTTGCCAATGGATGCGCACAGACGGACGAACAGACGGACAGACAGACAGACGGGCAGACGGACGGACGGACAAACGGACAGACGAACAGACGGACAGACGGACGGACGGACAGACGGACACGCGTCTCTTCTGCTTTATATATAGTAGATATCAATTTTTAGTCATACTACACCTTTATTTTACTAAATGGCTGGATAAGGTCATAGCTTTACCAATTGATTCAGATAAAGCCAGAGAGAGAGAAAAAAGCGCACAAGTACTGTAAAATTATAATTTGTCTCCATTTTCTTATCAGAATGTTGAAAGCTAGAAAATTTTGTAACAAATTTAAGCCTGAACTAAGCTTGTGAACAATTTTGTCACGTTTGTTAGTCTTACACTTCAAAAAAGTCGATTGTTGCTAAAAAAAGCTTGTTTCAAATTTAATAATATCATTAAAATTTTTTTAGTTTCAGTTTGTGTATTTCTTCGCCAAGTTAAACAAAAGACTTATTATCTATTTTCAATTCACCATTATGTTTCAAAAAGACGAAAAGAAGCGAAAAGCTTTTTGGACAGTCTAATATAAAAACCTTGCTACATTCATACATTATATGAGTGAAACAAGTGTAAGTGATCTTAAAAAAATTGCTAACAAGAACATTATGCAGGCTAGGTTAATTTTGGGTTAACTTTAACGTCAACTTTAACGTCAACTCAATTTGTAAACCGATGGATCCACGGTGGCAAGGTCTAGAATTTAATGGTATTCAGTTTATTTAACTTCAATGAAAACTAACCACAATGAGTCCAATGAGATTTGCTTTGCCGATGAGATAATTAAATCAAAATTCCTTTAGGTAACAATTTTTTTCAAAACAATAAGCACAATCATTTTCTATAAAATCCCTCCAACGTTGCTTCAGATTGCTGATCCCTAAATCGAAGAACTCTTGATTCTGAGATTGAAAATAGTCGGGCAGACGATCTTCAGGCGATCCTCCAGATCTCCAGGCGCCCATGTGGTTTGTCTTCAAGAGATTCAATACCTTCTCAGAGTCGGGAAAACCTGACCTGGCAAAAGTCATTTCCAAATGGTGAACAATCGTTGATTGATCACATTGTAGATGTTTGGCAAGCTCTCGTGTTGTTTGCATTGGATCGGCTTCAATGACTTGTTCTAATTATTATCGATCGCTGTCAAGCACTGTCAACATGAACATTATGCAGGCTAGGTTAATTTTGGGTTAACTTTAACCTCAACTTTAACCTCATCTCTAACCTCGACTCTAACCTCAACTCTAACCTCAACTTTAACCTCAACTTTAACTTTAACCTATTGTAGTCAGTAGTCTTTTTATTGTAGTAAGAAAAAGAACTGGAAATAGCTTTTTGAATAAAAAATCGGATTTGAAATTGAATGTTTCAACTTGAATCATCAAGCCAAACATTCATTTTTAGTAGTTAAAGAAAGTTTTTCTCAAATTTTAATTGCTGAACTTTTATCTTTATTTTTTTTTGTCGAATCAGTTTAAAGTCAAAATCAAAATCTATAAAAGAGAAGAATAAAAGTAAGACAAAAAGAGAGACAAAATAGAATTTAGGGAGTTTCTTTTAAGTGGAAATCGAATGTTTCAAATTGATTTAAATAAAAGGAATTTCTAGTTCTAATCGTGTTTTGCTGAAATTGTTTTAATTGTTAAAGTACCCTTTTTCAAGTCAGTTTTCTGATTTTTCTGGTTCTGGTGTTCGAAAGTTCAAAGAGAAAAACACTATTTCAACGTTAAACTCCAAAAAATGTTAATGTTTTTTTAATGATTTCTACTCCAATTTCTAATAATCAAAATATTTTCACCAAAACTTTTAAAATTTTTCCCATTCCCATCATCTTTCCCTTTATCATTCTTTTGCGAACCGTATTAGTAGGGTTTGGAATAACCCGTCTGGTATCTTCTCGTCTGTAGGAAAATTGAAAGTCTGTAAACGTAATCTGTAAACGAATTAGATCTTATTGCCATGTCAAATCTGCCCTATATTTAATCTTTTGTACCTGTGTCTAACTGTAGTCTTACTGTGCCATTTTTAGTTTTCTTTCTTTTTTTTTGTGAAAGGATTGTAGCAATATGTTATATGAGGTTATGATTATCTGATTCGCTTCTATTCGCCCCTGAATAAAGCATATATATATAAACCTACAAGCCCCTTTTTCCCCCCCCCTTTTTAAATTTTCCTCTTTTTTTTTGTTGACCCACCCAAGCCCTGCCTAAAGCCCAGCCAAAGCCGCCCCCCAGCTCAAAGCCAAAGCTTTAAAGGTTTGAATGTCAGTGAGACTTGTCTCCTTTGGGTTGGTGAATTGAAAACTGCGGGCTATTGTCAGATGTCACAGTTTGAGCACTTTCTTCAAAAGAAACCCATTTTGGTGTCAATGGAAAAGTTGTTGAGGATCAAAAATGAAGCTTATATCCAAATTTTCAGAACGATTCAAAAACTGGTTTTCAAGAAATGCCAAATTTACGAATTTTCACAAAACTTGCAACAAAACTTGCATTTTAAGCGAAACTACTAAGTGTATCTTCTTGGAAATTTGGCTATAAGCCTAATTTTTGATTCTCTACAACTTTTCTATTGACACCAAAATGGGTTTCTTTTGAAGAAAGTGCTCAAATGCTCAAACTGGGACATCTCCAGTCCTCCATTTTTGAGTCTCACACTTGTCTCACACACAAACCAAAATCCTACTACGAAAGAGGAATCCGCAAATTGCCTGTAAAATGGGCAGAAGTCGTCAATAATAATGGAAATTATTTGGAATGAATTCATGGTTTTATGTTCAATAAATTTTAGTTCAAAATACGGCAGTTTTCAATTCACCAACCCAGTATGTATATAAAGTCAGTTTTCTGATTTTTCTTGTTCTGGTGTTCGAAAGTTCAAAGCGAAAATCGCTGTTTAAACGTTAAACTCCAAAAAATGTTAATGTTTTTAATGATTTCTACTCCAATTTCTAATAATCAAAATATTTTCACCAAAACTTTTAAAAATTTTCCATCGAAATCCAATGAAAAGAGAATTTTGACTGTAAATCGCTTCGTCAGCTTTTCTTTTCTTTTTGAGAAGTTAAAACTTTTCCCATTTTCATTGCAGTTTTTTACTTGTTTTGAAATGAAACCATTGAAAAGAGTTTGAGTCAAGTTTTTTTCACTAAAGAAAACAAAAGCTTTCGGTGAATTTCGTTGAATTTGATTGAATTTGAATGAATTTGATTGAATTTGTTTGAATTTCAAGAAACGTATATAAGTTTTCAATTGAAGAATTGGAGAAACGGTAAATGCTTCAAAAAAAATGAAACATTTTCTTTTTCTGTTGATTCTTGTGCCGGTGATTGCTGGAAGTAAGGAGATTTTGTAAAGAAATCGTACTTTTTAGCATTTTTGTACTAGGTTGATGAAAAAGAAAACTCGGTTTTTTTACAAACATTAACCTCTGTGGCGAATTGCCGATACCGTTGAACCGTACGTGGATTTAGCGCTTTATTGAGCACTTTTTTGAAGCCTATCGGGCTGAAAATTTGCAATCAAGGGTTTTCGAGGATGAGCAATTCGAATTCGTTATTAATTTTTAAACAAAACTGCTCTATTTTTGCTCAAAAACTAATAACAGATTCAGATTCAGATTTAGATTCAGATTCTCCATCCCAGAATGCCTCTGATTACAAATTTTCAAGCTTGTCTGTCATCCGAAACAGCAACCAAGTCAAAAATGTCTTTTTTGTGAATTTGTTAAACAAAAATTGAATTAAGTTTAAACAAGGTGAGATTTAAAATAAGCAACCGAATGTACAAAGTTGTACCAAGCTGTACAAAGTTGTACAAAGCTGTACAAAGTTGTACAAAGCTGTACAAAGCTGTACAAAGTTGTACAAAGCTGTACAAAGTTGTACCAAGCTGTACAAAGTTGTACAAAGCTGTACCAAGCTGTACAAAGTTGTACCAAGCTGTACAAAGCTGTACAAAGTTGTACAAAGTTGTACAAAGTTAAACTTGTACTATTTTTGTGTCGCTATTGTCCCGAAGAGCTTTAAAAAGCTTGAAAATACTGTAATTTTCAGCTTTCTTCAACGAAAAACGCGTCAAAGAGCTTAAAAATGTGCAGATTGTGAAATTTTTTACCGGTTTTTTTCGAATTGGTCCCGAGCTGAACGGTGAGATTTTTATCATTTAAAGAATCGCCTAAAAACTTGCTCAGGGTTCCATGTGGAAAGCTTTACACTTTAAAACTAGAATTCCTACTTTAAAAGAACGCCACCTCCTCGTACAGTCGTGTAGTCTAACTTTTTTAGTCTAACTTTTTTTTAGTCTAACTTCTTCTTCATTTTTTCTCAGCTTTAACTACACTTTTGGTCCAAAAAACAAGATTTTAAGGGCTCTCATTTGACACAAAAGCGCAAACTGTAGCATAAATCAGCGAAAAGAACGGGACGTTCAAAGTTAGACTACGCGACTGTACGTCCGTCATTATTGACGTTTTAATAGAGTATTTATGGTAAAACCGCTGTTCAACAATTATGAGACTAAAAATCGGCTATCCTTTTATTAAAAGTCGAGCGCTTGTTTAAATCAGAAATAATTTGAAACATGCTTTAATAAATCAAAAGATCTAAAGATTACGCTTTGATAAGCAGCTTTGCTTTCGTTAAATTTGTTACAGAAAGGCCATTTTGATAGTAAAATGTATCGAACCTCATCTCAGTTTTGATTGAAATGTTGATTTCTTTGAAACTCTATCATTTTTCAGTTACTAAGGAGCACTTCTCGAAAGCGATTACTTATTTTCCGAAGAATCGAGAATATCTACCATTTCGAGTCATGAAACAAGTTGCCATCGCTCAAAACTATGCAACACAGGAATTTGTGAATGAATTTGAGGTAGAGGTTGAAAATGAACTCGTTTTAAAACGTTAACATTAATCCAAATTTCGTAAACTTTTATCGAAAATGAAAAAAATGGGGAGTGGGACAAATGCGACTTTTTTCTTGCGCACCCGGACATTTGCGCACCTTTTTTCCCCCACTTAGCCCATTAGCGCACCTTTTTTCGCGTTTTAAGCTCTAAAACCTCTAAAAAAGCTCTAAAAAGCTAATATTAACCAATTTCTATTCCAAAAGTTGTTTTTCTAGGTAATTTGAGGGTGTAGAATCGAAATTTTGGCATATCAGAGCTTGTGGAACCAATTTGAAAGACAATTTGAAAGGCTAGATCAAATTACAGAAAACTGTTGATTTTTCTCTTTGTATAACTCCGTCCGTTCGCTTCCACAAGCTCTGATATGCCAAAATTTAGATTCTACGCCCTAAAATTACCTAGAAAAACAACTTTTGGAATAGAAATTGGTTAATATTAGCTTTTTAGAGCTTTTTTTAGAGCTTTTAGAGCTTAAAACGCGAAAAAAGGTGCGCTAATGGACAAGGTGCGGAAAAAAGGTGCGCAAAAAAGGTCACATTTGTCCCACTCCCAAAAAATGAAAATTGATCCAAAATTTCGTAAAATTTTGCCTTTAAAACTCAAATGAAACAAGGCATTTTAGGATTAAAACTGTGAAATTCGATAGTCGTGGCCGTATTACGGTGAAAAATCTTATTTTTTCAGACAATACTTTGAAACATGGTTTTAAAATTTAGCGTCTAGTGTTCAAAAGTTTCTTTAACGTTTCTTTACGTTTCTTTACCTTTCTTTAACGTCTTAAAAAGCATGAATCCCATCAGAAAAGAGACAACTTTTGCAATTGTTGCAACACAATGATAGTGTAGAAATGTTGGTACATTTAAAATTCATTTAAGACTTTTAGAACATCTAGTGTGTCTAGCTAGCATCTAGCTTGAACAAGAAAGGTTGAAAAACGAAATTAAAACGAATTTCGAGTGTGACTTTGTCTAGGCAACTTGGAGATGCACTTGGGTAATTAAACCGAATGAAATATCCAAAAATAGAGCAATTTTCTTTAAAAACTAATAACGAACTGGAATTCCTTGACCCTAAAAACCCGCTGGTGCAAATGTGTAGCCCAATCGGCTTCAAAAAAAGTCCTAAATCCATCCACATCCATCCACATCCATCCAACATCCATCCACATCCATCCACATCCATCCACATCCATCCATCGCGAATGTGCTAACACTCTAGATCCAATTTTTAACCGAAATTCTTTTCCAGGACATATTTCTCAGGAAATTAGCAGCGTTTCTTTTTCAATGTTAATTATTGTTTAATTTGAAACTTGATCTGCAAAAATCTCCTTGAATCTAGATCTTTATCAGATTAAAAACATGCATCAAGTTAGAGAGAAATCTAAAGCTTAGATAATTAAACGGAAATGGAAAGAAAAAGGCGTAATTGGCGTAAAACCGTAATTGGGTAATTAAACCGAATGAAATATCCAAAAATAGAGTAATTTTCTTTAAAAGCTAATAACGAATTCGAATTCCTTGACCCTAAAAACCCGCTGGTGCAAATATGTAGCCCAATCGGCTTCAAAAAAATCCTAAATCCATCCACATCCATCCACATCCATCCACATCCATCCACATCCATCCATATCCATCCACATCCATCCACATCCATCCACATCCATCCACATCCATCCATATCCATCCACATCCATCCTAAATCCATCCTAAATCCATCCTAAATCCACCCTAAATCCATCCTAAATCCATCCGTCGCGAATGTGCTAACACTCTAGATCCAATTTTTAACCTAAAATCCATTTTAAAATCCTAAAACCCTTTCCAGGACATATTTTTCGGAGATGAAAACAAAGAGATTGGTCAAATGTTCGAGGACGCTTTCTTGTTTGCATTGGAAAATGCCGAAGAAGTGGAGGTTGGCGAGGATTTTCGATAATGGATTAGCTCATAGTGGATAAGAATTCGAGTTTATCTAGAAGTTGCTTTGAATTCATGATGAAAAAACAATCTGGTGACTGTTTAAAAACATTATTGATCTATTGAGAAGCTAGATATTCAAAAAAAAGCATGATTTGATTGCACGTTAAATTCGAGTTTCAAAGTTGATGGCTAAAACTTGAAGCTTAAAACTTGAAGTTTAAAACTTGAACGTTAAAAATTGAACTTTAAAACTTGAGCTTTAAAACTTGAATCTTATTGGTAATGAATCTATGACTTGATGCGTTTAATTCAGAGTATTCAACATAGAAATTTGTCTTGCAACTAGAAAAATATTAAACTTATCACCGTAGTATCTCTAATAGTAGCGCTCCCCTATAATGAGGGTCGGAGCATCGCGTTGTCTAACTTTAAACGCATTTTATCTCGTCACCCGTTTAAGCTACAGTGTGCGCTTAAGTATCAAATGAAAGCTGAAATTCAGGGCTATTTTTTGATACCAAAAATGTATTTTTAGAAATTATGGGCGCTTAGAAAATGATTTAGTAAAGATTTAGTAAAGATTTTTGCGACTACGCGACTGTACGGGGGGGGCGCTACTATTAGAGGTATTACGGCAGCAATTTAGAAACTAGTCCATGGTTTGAACGGCTATTGGAAGAGGTTCTTGACAATTTTCGATGTGAATATGAAAGAAAACGCGATGGAGATTGTTGACGCGTTTTCCGCTTCGAATACGATTGGATCATTTTTGCATCATGTAAGTTAACAGTAAAAGTAAAAGGTTATCGGAAAAGTCATCAGTAAAAGTTATCTGTATAAGTAACAGGTTATCGGAAAAGTGTTTTTAATGATGAGTTTTATAGAAAAGATTTATTGATGAGTTTTTATTGTTTTATAGATCAATTGCATCTTTTAAAGTATTTTAAAGTACGCAAAAAAGTTAAGCGTTTCTTATTGGCTTTGCTGCTGTGTGGCGTTGAAAATTGAACTTTTAGGGTGATTTTTTTTCTGTGGAATTTTTAATATAATTGATTTGCAACTGAAATTTTAAAAACCTAACAAAACTGGATTTACTAATTTTAAATTTAATCATCAGAAGCCCGAGAAATTGATTGACTGCTCAAGGTTTTTGATTTGACTAAGAACAACTTTGAAACTCTTTGTTTTTATTTCTTTTACTAGAATCTTTCAATAGCAATTAAAGGGTTTCTGTTTTTTTTGTATTCGGTTTTTCCTTTTCAAAATCAAATGTTAAATTTAGCAAGACTCTTAATAATTATAATCAATTGCCAACTTAGAACAATGTACTGTTTTTCGTCCTGAAATATCTTCAAATACCTTCTTTAGAAATATTGATTTTTATGACAAGACGGCCATACTATTTTCTCTAATAGTAGTGCACCCTGAGCGTCGCCTAAATTGCTCGAAATCTCGAGAACCACTTATCAGAACCTATCGATGTGGGGTCGGAAAATGTAGCTGACGATGAGATCTTGTGGGGGATTAGAGTGTTGAGCTTCTGCAAAAGCTTGGAAATCGTAAAATAGTCATCAACTCGGATCGTCGGGGGGGCACTACTATTAGAGAGAATACGGTAACCATGGGGAAGAAAATACTGACTAAAAAAGACTAAAGAAAGCTCACCTTAAGTTGATGTACTTTCCTTGTAAGTTAATTGAAATCACAAATGGTTAAATGGTAGGACAATTCATACCGTATTTTCTCTAATAGTAGTGCACCCCGGCGAGCCGAGTTGGTGACTATTTTACGGTTTACAGGCTTTTGCAGAAGCTCAACACTCTAATCTCCCACAAGAGCTCATTGTCAGCTACATTTTCCGACCCCACATCAATAGGTTCTGATAAGCGGTTCTCGAGATTTCGAGCAATTTAGGCGACGCTCAGGGTGCACTACTATTAGAGAAAATACGGTATCCATGAAACAGAAGAAATGCATGGAAACACAGCAACTTTGAAATAACCAGTCAACCAGTCAACTCTAACTATTGCTTTTGAATCATTTGCATTTAAGCAAAATTTGAATTTGAGAAAGTTATTCAGTTTTTGGACGTCCGGTTCGGAATCGGGCGTCCGAAACTAAACAAAAATTTTCGTTCTTTTTCGGACGTCCGGAACAGAACGCTTGTTCTAATATATATTCTTTTACTAGGAAGTTTCCAATAAACCTTAAACAATTTCTACCCTTTAGTATTGAAATTTTTCTTTTAGAAACTCATGGTAAATTTCAGACCTGGAAATCGGACACCCGCTTTGTGAGCTACGTTTCTGAGCATATCATTCCAGGTTGGGTTTTGATCAGTAAATGGGAAAGTTTTAAGGTAGTGCTTATTCAGATAAAGTTTTGAGAGTAGTCGTCATGTGCTTAGTAAACTAGTAAAGTAGTTTTGCTCACTAAAGTTAGTAATGCTTTAGATTTAGATAAGATCTGTTAATGAGAAACTTTCAGAGCTCTTCACAAAGCTCCATACGATCTACTCTCCGAAGCTCGATATACCCAGCTCGACGACTGAACAACCACCAACGACAACCAGCCGGCCTAAAGCCACGAGCGAACAGCCAGCTCACCCCACCGCCAAGCCAGCACTCACAGGCTCGTCTACTCACCCAACAGGTGTCCCAACTTTTGAACCGACTACTGGAACCACGTCTCAGGCTCCCCCAACAACTAGTCAACCCACTCCGGAATCGTCTAGTTCCACTCTACAAACAACAAGTCACCCGAGTCCGTCAACTCAAGAGCCACCCAGCACCAGCCATCAACCAACAACTGAACCAACTCATGAAACACCAACTTCTACTTCTCAAACAACTGAACCGACTCATTCCACCCATCAACCAACAACCAATCCAACAACTGAACCCATTCAATCAACCGTTGAGCCACCCAGCTCAACTCCAACAACCGAACCGACTACTCATCCAACTAAACCCTTGCCATCAGAGTCGACACCTGATCCCGAAAAACCAAGCACAACAATCACACCGACTAGACCGGCTCATAGTCTACTCACAACTGAACCCACATCTATGCCTCCAAGTACCACAGCACCCACCGAGCCTACAACCGAGACTACACCTGACCCCACTCAACCCACGTCCACTCACCAGCCTCCAATCAAATCTAGTCCTGAGCCCACAACTCAGCCAGCCGCTCCCAGCACAACAACTCCTTCACCACCTGAGTCAACCACTCCAACTCAACCCACATCGACTCACCAACCATCCACCACAACTTCTCGGAAACCAGGCACCGGACCTATTATTGTTTCACCGGTTACTACTGAAGAGTCAACAACGACTACTGAAGAACCGACCAAAAAGCCGACAAGCGTCGTGCCGACTACAAAACCAACAACCCCAACAACAGCTATTGTCTTCGTTCTGCCGGTAAGCAATAGACAATAGAAAATGTTCTGATAAACGTAAAAGTTTAAATAAAGCCGACATTCGCTTCGTTCATGGAGCTCAAATTGAAACGTTAATTTTCTAAGAGGAGACATGCAAGCCCAGAAGTTAAAAAGAATTCCGGCATTCGATTAAGCAAAATACTTTGGAATAGCAAATTGAAAATTAAGCATTAACTCTGTTGATCGTTTGCTTATTGTGCTCAAATTGAAACTCAAATTTTTCAGACGATCCCCATCCATGGTGAGCCTCCGCAAGGCGGCAACTCGTCAGTTACCATTTTGCCTCGACTCGTCAAGAAGGGAAATCGTTTCTAATAAATGTTGAATTATCAATGAGATAGGAAAGGGTTTTTTTGTGATGAATAAAGTTTTTACATCAAACAACCGTCCATTAGGTTACTTGACAAACATTTTCTGGTTGTTTATTAAGCTGTCTAGAAAGTCTTTTCGTTCCTTTTCATACTTTTGCAATCAAAAAGTCAATTCAAACTTTTATTGAACATTCACAAACTAGATTTATCTAATAAGAGTGCAAATAGAAGGTTTTAAACTTTCAAACCCAGCTTATCAGTCACTAGTTCTTCTAAAACGTTCCCCAATTTTTTTTTTGGCTTGATAAAATATAAAAATCTATTTCTCTATTTTATCCCTTATACCAGTGGAAAAACGCTCGCGTGTTCTACTGCGGAGGTCGACGTTTTCCGCGCAATCTGAGCCCCGCCCCTTTTTGCCAATGGCTGCGCACAGACGGACGGACAGACGGACGGACAGACGGACGGACAGACGGACGGACAGACGGACGGACAGACGGACGGACAGACGGACGGACAGACGGACGGACAGACGGACGGACAGACGGACGGACAGACGGACGGACAGACGGACAGACGGACGGACAGACGGACGGACAGACGGACGGACAGACGGACGGACAGACGGACGGACAGACGGACGGACAGACGGACAGACAGACGGACAGACGGACGGACAGACAGACGGACAGACAGACGGACAGACAGACGGACAGACAGACAGACAGACGGACAGACAGACGGACAGACAGACGGACAGACAGACGGACAGACAGACGGACAGACAGACGGACAGACAGACGGACAGACAGACGGACAGACAGACGGACAGAGAGACGGACAGACAGACGGACAGAGAGACGGACAGACAGACGGACAGACAGACGGACAGAGAGACGGACAGACAGACGGACAGAGAGACGGACAGACAGACGGACAGAGAGACGGACAGACAGACGGACAGAGAGACGGACAGACAGACGGACAGAGAGACGGACAGACAGACGGACAGAGAGACGGACAGACAGACGGACAGAGAGACGGACAGACGTCTCTTCTGCTTTATATAGTAGATATCAATTTTTAGTCATGCTACACCTTTATTAACATTTTCTGATTGTTTATTAAGCTGTCTGGAAAGTCTTTTCGTTTCTTTTCATACCTTTGCAATCAAAAAGTCAATTCAAACTTTTATTGAACATTCATAAACTGGATGTATCTAATAAGAGTGCAAATAGATGGTTTTAAACCTTCAAAACCAGCTTATTATTGACCAGTTCATCTAAACCGTTCCCCAATTTTTTTTGGCTTGAGTAAACTCAAAATCTCAAATCAATCGTGTTCAAAATGGAAACGTTGACGTGTCCTAAACATCTTTTAGCGCTTTGATCACAAAAATGAGATGAAAACTTACGAATAAACGATTTGATTTGAACGATTTGATTAGTTTTTTTGTTTCGAAGTTTTAGTATTCTCTGTTCAATGATTAAAAAGCTATAACGGCAATTTTAAGCTTAATATTGTGCCTAAATTATTGCCAGCAAGTCAGCATTTGAATTCATTTCTTGTTTTTGCAAATTTCAACTTTTCTATTATAAGTTTAAGCGAGTAGGTAAAACTGACTTAAGCTTTTGTCAAGTTTTGCCCAGTTTTGCTAAATTTTGCCCAGTTTTGCCCAGCTTTATCTAGTTTTTTTAATTTCCGTCATTTTGTTATTGCTTGGTCGATTGCTTGGTCGATTTTTATTTAGACTCATGATACATTGAAACATAAACATTTTAAAAAGAGCTTTTGAGTTTTTCGATGAATCAAATGCTCATTAACAAATCGATTTGTCTCTTGCAAACAATTTTTAAAATTTTCTATTCAAATTGCTCATTTTGAAAGCCGAGTTTTAAAAGGCTTTAATAACTTTTTAAACTTGTAACTTTTCCAGGCAAAAAACGCAAAATTGCATGGATTTATATAGAAAAAGAGTTACAAGTGCTCGAATTTTAATTGACAAGTTTACGCTTTTCAAAGCCGTGTTTCAAAATGGTTTAAGTAAGCGCCGAGAACTAATCAACAATTAACCTCTTATTTAATTTTCCGAAAATACTTTAGAGCATAACTATTTGAAACTGAAAGTCTCAGTTTCTCAAGTTTAAAATAATATTATAACTTTCTCATCTCAGAAAACTTGCGATTTACTTTTCGGAAATCAGTTCTCTTGAAAAAATCTGACCGTTTCCTAGAAAATAAACCCATGATTTTGTTTAAAACCATGACAACGGACATGACATTGTTCTTTTTTTTGCTTTAAAAGTCACCAAATACAAATTCTGAAAGTAATGAAGCCGAGATTTTTCCCTGATTTGTTTAAAAACATTCTTTAGTTTAACAATAAAAAGTTACTGGTAAAAAAGTTAGAGGTGAATAAAAAATGTAAAATTGTTCTAAAATTAAGTGATAAGTGTTGGGGAAAAGTGTTTCAGTTGTGTTTTAAATTAACCAGTTGTTTCAATGCTTCAAATTAACATTTGTAAGCTTTTTCGATGTTAATCTTGTCAACTTGGCTGGTCAACTTGGCTGGTCAACTTGGCTGGTCAACTTGGCTGGTCAACTTGGCTGGTCAACTTGGCTTGTCAACTTGGCTTGTCAACTTGGCTTGTCAACTTGGCTTGTCAATATCAACACATTCGTTATAAGAATACATTCAAGGTGACAATTTGCTAATTGTTTCAATTTTATCAATTTCGCGAGTTTTCTACAACTAGTTTTGGCTTTTCGCGAGTTTTTTCTTCTTTACTTTACTTTACTTTACTTTAACTTTACTTTACTTTACTTTACTTTACTTTACTTGTCCATATTGTATGTTAGGACCAGTTTGACTAGATAAAAAAGCACTTTAAAGCACTTTAAAAGAACCCGGAGAAACCTTTTTCGATCGCATTTACTTCTAAATCTATTTCATGCATGATAGCCAATCATTGAGTGTCATTAGATTGACAAAAAAGTGTCCAAGAGATTTTCATTTCAACCTGAACGAGATTATTGAGAAAAAAAAGCACTTTACAGGGGAAAAAAACACTTTAAAGCACTTTAAAATAACCCGAACAAACCTTTTTCGATCTTCACATGAACTAAATAAAAATACTTCTAAAAATCGTTAATTATACACTCTTAGTGATTTGAATCCAGAAGATTTTGCTCCTAAGCTGTTTCTGTAAATTCTAGGAGTTGAAAGAAGCAACTCGGCTAACCCAAGCAACAGATTTTAAATAAAAATTCATATTGAGTCAATTTCTGGTGGAAAGCTTGAAAAAAACTTGTAATCTTATCGTTTTTTGGCAATTTGGTTTCAATTTCATCGATTTCTTATTGAAGTTCTTTTATCGTTTGTATTGACTCGACGTATTGACTCGACGAATCGACTAAAATCGTTTGTATTGACTAAATAAACGTTCAAGTTTTGTTCTTTTCAAATCTTTTTGTTGGATTATTGAATTTTGAAGATTTTAAGTACTAATAATTGAATTTTTCTCTCATTTCAATGTCATTTTCTTTTTTTAAAGGTTAACGTTTCAAAATGTTCTCAATCAAAACAGTTTTTGTGTCATTAATGTGTTTGGTCACTGAGAAACTTGTAATTGATTCGCTATTCAATTAATTTGTTTTCAAGAATTTCTGTATTTATTCAATTAAAATTTAAGACAATGGTTGGCATCCATTTGCCGAATAATCAAAAACCTACCGTACTCGATCTTCCACTGGTGAGAGAATTTAGAAAAGCTCTCTAAAAAGCTCTCAAAAGCCTTTGATAGCTTTCAAAAGCTCTCAAAAGCTACCAAAAGCTCAAAAAAGCTCTAAAAAGCTGTCAAAATCTATCAAAAGCTCTCAAAAGCTATCGAAAGCTACCAAAAGCTCTAAAAAGCTATCAAAAGCTACCAAAAGCTCCAAAGGCTACCAAAAGCTCTAAAAGCTACCAAAATCTATCAAAAGCTCTCAAAAGCTACCAAAAGCTCTAAAAAGCTGTCAAAATCTATCAAAATCTATCAAAAGCTCTAAAAAGCTCTCAAAAGCTCTCAAAAGCTACCAAAATCTATCAAAAGCTACCAAAAGCTCTTTTAGCTCTCAAAAAGTGTTCAATCTCCTGAAAAGTATATATTTTCAGGAAAAAGCGAAAACTATTGAGAATCCGGAGCAGGAAACAAAAAGCGCCGCGTGTGAGAAGTTGGCGAAACGGGTTTGTGATTGAAATCTTTTGAAAAGTCTTTGAAAAGTTGATCATGGAGCAATTAGAAAGACACAATCGCCGCAAATTGATTGGATCAATTAACGCTAGTCTTTGAATTTATTGAAACCTTCATTTTCAGATTCACCTCTGCGTGGCAACGATTATTCTCGAGGTGCTCTCGTTGGTGGTTTTGGCGCTCTTCTTTGCCAAGTGGGTTTTGAAAAATTGAAAGGATATCTAATTGATCAAACTTGTTAAAGTTGGTTAAATGAAGAAGTAGAAGAGTTCAAAAACGCTTTGAAATCTTTGATTGATCAGAGCAAATCTTGCTCATTTCTTAAATCCTGCTAAAAGTGGAACACGGTTTTTGGAACGCGTATAGTCGCGTACAATTGCGTACAGTCGCGTACAATGGCGTATAGTTGCGTACAATTGCGTACAGTTGCGTACAGTCGCTTACAATGGCGTATAGTTGCGTACAATTGCGTACAGTTGCGTAAGTCGTACATGGCGTTTTGCGCAATTGCGTACAGTTGCGTACAGTTGCGTATAGTTGCGTACAATTGCGTATATTTGCGTACAATTGCGTACAGTTGCGTACAGTCGCGTACAGTCGCGTACAATTGCGTACAGTTGCGTATAGTTGCGTACAATTGTGCATAGTTGCGTACAATTGCGTACAGTCGCGTACAATTGCGTATAGTCGCGTACAATTGCGCACAGTTGCCTACAGTTGCGTACAGTTGCGTACAATTGCGTATATTTGCGTACAATTGCGTACAGTTGCGTACAGTCGCGTACAATTGCGTACAGTCGCGTACAATGGCGTATAGTTGCGTACAATTGCGTATAGTCGCGTACGATTGCGCGCAGTTGCGTACAGTTGCGTACAGTCACGTACAATGGCGTATAGTTGCGTACAATTGCGTACAGTTGCGTACCGTCGCGTACAATTGCGTACAATTGCGTACTACTAATCCTTAAAAGCTTGAGTTGACAATAAACTTAAAGTGACAAAAATATCTGTCGATCAGCACCAACCCTTCAATTTTGTCTTTTTTTGACTATCATTCAATGTAGAATAAAATTTTGCGTCGAATCATACCAAAATTAACTAAAAATGTAATATCGATGCAAATTTTTGAGGCAAAAGCTTAAGTCTCGCCTACAATTGGCATGGTTTAGATTTTTAGCCAACAACTTTACCTGGATATTACATTTTGAGTTAATTTTGGTATCATTCGATGCGCAATCTCATTCTGCATCGAATGATAGTCAAAAAAGTCAAAATTGAAGAATTGGTGTTGAGAGAAAGGCAAGAACCAAAAAGAACTGATAGAATTGTTCCAAATTTAGTTGACAATAATCGTCATGAGAACGGCTTATCATTGTCATTATCATTGTCGGCATTGTCGCGAATGTGTTAAGACAAGTAGCCAAAAGTGGTTAGTGAAAGTGTCAATGAAAATTAAGTGTTTCACCTTAAAGACTACAGCCTGATCTTGGATTATTTTAAGAGTTGTCTTAGTGGTTCTTGTCCTTCTCCTATTATCTGAAAATTTAATCAAGTATTCCCTTTAGCTGCTATCAAGGCATCCTCGTTGTTTTAACCTTCATCCTCGGCCCGGTGATTCTCTATTTCATCACGATGAAAGCGATGTTCGCCTATTGGATCACCAAGGAGGCGAAAGCGATCAAGAGGATGAGAAATGTGATTGTGAGTGGAAAATGGATACCGTAAATACTGTAGCAGTACCCCACCCCCATAATGACGGCGCGGAGTGTTGCGTAGTCTAGCTTTGAACGAGTTTTTCTCGACACTTGTTTATGCTACAATGCGTGCTTAGGTATCAAAAAATAGCTGAAATTCAGGGCTATTTTTTTGATACCTAAGCGCGCATTGTAGCATAAACCAGTGTCAAGAAAAACGGGTCCAAAGCTAGACTACGCAACGCTCCGCACCGTCATTATGGGGGTGTGGCACTATTACAGTATTTACGGTAAGTCTTTTTTAACTTTGCACATGGACAAACACATGGAACTGAAACCAACAAAATTTTAATGATTTTCTAGAAGTTGTTTCAACTTCAAGAAAATCATTAAAAGAAAAAAGCTTGTTTCAAGCTTTTTTTGGCAACAATCGAGTTTTTTGAAGTTTAAAACCAAACGAGCAAAATTCTTCACAAGAATTCACTTAAAAAAATCCTTCACAAGCTTAGTTCAGGCTTAAATTTGTTACAAAATTTTCGAGCTTTCAACATTTTGATAAGAAAACGGAGACAAATTATAATTTTACAGTACTTGGGCGCTTTCTTTTCCCTCTCCGGCTTCATCGGGATTCTCATTGACGGAATCTATTACCGCACCCAGCCATTTCTCATCGGTGAGTTAGTAACAATCGTTAAATCGTTTATTTGTAAGTTTTCCTCTCATTTTTATGATCAAAGCACTAAAAGACGTTTAGAACACGTCAACGTTTCCATTTTGAGCACAATTTATTTGAGATTTTGTGTTTACTCAAGCCAAAAAAAATTGGGAACCTTTTAGAAGAACTAGTGACTGCTAAGCTGGTTTTGAAGGTGTAAAACCTTTTAGCTGCACTTTTATTAGATAAATCTAGTTTATGAAGGTTCAGTAAAAGTTTGAATTGGCGTTTTGATTGCATCAATTTGAAAACTAGTTCAATAAACTGCAGTTTAATTGGTGCATTCTGGTTTGCTGGTGCAATTGATGCAATTGCTGGTTTTAAACGAAAGTACGAAAAGGAACGAAAAGACTTCCTGGACAGTCTACTACATAACTAATTGTGAAAAAGAATACGGAATTTGGGATTTGCGAAAATCTGATTTTAAAGTTTAATCTTAGCGGTCTTTGCAGTGTGTTTGCTAATGTCTTAGGCTTAGCGAAAGAGACAAGGACAATAAAAAAGGAAAGATTCATCTCAGAAAAAACTTCCAATAAATTAATGGTAACAGATTGCGCTCAAAGGTTTTTCAGAACTTTCAGAACTTTCAGAACTTTCAGAAATTTGGTCGGTCGAATCATCCAGCCAATTTCCAGACTTTTTGAGGGATTAGAAAAGAGGGCTAAGGACGGGAATGCTTTTGCACAAATGAACTTTCACTTTGAAAAATTCGGCCAAATTTGGCCAAAACTTTTGAGTGATGCTTCGGAAGCTTTTCACTATTCTTACTGTCAAAGGAGTTTTTTTGAAAAGGAAAGAAACGATTTAAGAATAAGAGAACAAATTCAAAAGAAGAAATAGATAAAAATATCATAGCAAAGTTACAGTAAAAAGGTTCAGGTAAGATTTTAAACTAGCTCAAAATCTTAATGACAAGTTCAAAGTATTGGCTTAAGATCAAAAACGTTACTGAAGCTCATCCTCAATATCAGAACTACAATAGAAAAGCCTAGTGAAAATACCTAGGACCTAGGAATCTGTGTACTGCTGTTTTGCTTTATTTTAAGGCCTTTAAGCTGAATGAATCTCCTTTTTTATCTATCTACTTAAAAAAAATCAATATCTTTTGAAATCACAAAACCTGAACTAGAAAAACGTTTGTGAGGATAAAAGACATTTATTTTCATGGTTCTTTTCCAATATCGGGGGAGCGGTCCGATTATCGGGGGAGCGGAAAGAAAATCGGGGGAGCGAAAGGAAAATCGGGGGAGCAAATTTTGCCCCCTCGAAAAATGCATTTCTGGGACTTTTATTTTTACTGCAACGTTTTTTTTTAAACTTTAACGACGATGCGCTTCTCCGATATTTGTGCGTTCAAGGAATCGACGGCAATCGATTATTTCGTCACCAAAGGAGTCATCCAGTCGTGGATTTGCAACTGTGGCGAATCGATGAAAGTCCGCTCAAAGGGAAAAGATCTATTTCGCTGGGTATGTGACACTTGCGCACGGCGAAATGTCCCCAAGCATTCAAGAGGAATTCGAGTCGATAACTTTTTGCAACAAAGCAAGCTCCCGTTTGTCACAATTTTAAAGTTCATACATCTATGGAGCCAGGGACTCACGACAATCAAACACTGTCAACAGGAGCTCGGCATTTGGATAATATAGGACATATGTAGCGCTGCCAAAAAATTAAAAAAAAAACGTTGCAGTTAAAATAAAAGTCCCAGAAATGCATTTTTCGAGGGGGCAAAATTTGCTCCCCCGATTTTCTTTCCGCTCCCCCGATAATCGGACCGCTCCCCCGATATTGGAAAAGAACCGTTTTCATTAGTTTAACTTTCTGTTAACGCTAATACCGTATTTTTGAAAAGGAAAGAAACGATTCAAGAATAAGAGAACAAATTCAAAAGAAGAAATAGATAAAAATATCACAGCAAAGTTACAGTAAAAAGGTTCAGGTAAGATTTTAAGCTAGTTTTTTAGTTCAAACTAAACTAGTTCAAAATCTTAATGGCAAGTTTTCAGTGTTCCCTATCCTGCTCGCAATCCAGATCTACGGCGGACTTCTCTGGCACAAGATTCACGTGAAAATGAGTAAAAACGAGGACTACACCGAGCTGTCGCTCATCTCGGCGATTCGCCTCCGTCTAATCGTTGTCGATGCTTGAATTTTGTGATTGTCAATTTCAATTAAACAATTTTCTAAAAGGCATTTATACGACCGCAATCATTCGACTTTATTTATTCTTTGCTTTTTGTAAATTTGATGTTTTAGTCATTTGAATCGTTGGTATTTGATACTGTTTTTGCTGTTGAATAAAACAAAGTTGTTAAGATGAGAGCTACAATCAAATTTGACAACTTAAAGCTGATCACATTGAAAACTCAATTGTTTTATTGGTACAAAGACAGTTGAGTATAACAAAAACAGTTACGTATAACAAAAACTATTTACCGGTAAAACATTAGGGCATTTTTAGATTAAATCCAGCTAGAGACTAGGTTCATAGCGGTTTGATCAATGATAAAACTTATTTTTAAACGGAATGTTGAAGATAGTTGGGATCAATCCGTTCAGTTAATGCTAGCATTGGGCCAGATTTTCTTGAAACTTAGAATTTGTAATTTTTGAGACATTTTGAGGCAACAGTTCAAACAAACGAGAGACTTGGCAGTGTACGGTAGTTTTATTACATAGTAAATTGTAGTACGTAGTATTACATAAACTAATTTTTATTCTAACTGAGATCAAAAAAGTGCACCGAGACGCACACAGATTGTTCAGCAAATGACCGCGTTCATTTGCATTTCTTTGAAACTCGTTACTTTTTCGCATTCAACTTTGAGAGATTTTATAGATAAAAGTCTAAATAGACGAGAGCCTGGGCTTTACAGTAGCTTTAAATACAGAATGCGTCATAATTGTTGTTGCAAAGTCAACAACAAGTACAACAAGTTGTTGCAAAGTCAAAGCCAAGGAGCGGTAGACGCCCAACTGCCGTCACAAAGACAAACATCAAGCGAGTGAGGGACATAATTCGGAAAAAGCCAAACCAGTCGATAAAACTATCTAAACCGATAACCGATAACTACCTGGCTCTTTTCAAGGATAAACTCTTGTCCTGGGCTCGTCCTGGCTTGTGATGCTTGAGGCATTTGGAGGCAAAAGTTCAAACAAACGAGCGATCCGGCGCTGTACAGTAGTTCTATTACATAGTAAACCGAATTTAGTAACTCTTCTGCGTTTTTGAGCATCCTTGTAATGATTCCGAGTCTGCGAATTTCTTCTCGTGATAACGGTTGATTAACGCAGCCAAACTTTTCACATTTGCCAATTATTGTTGAAGGACAGCTTGTATCTAAAAATATTCATTATCTCTGAACAAAAAACGAACAAAAGAGAAAATAAGAACAACAAAACAACACGAAATTCCCTGAATTAAAAACCATTTTAGTAGGTTTTAGAATAAAAGCGAAAGTTCGGTCGCTGGGGGACTTGAACCAGGGGAAAAAGTTTTTTTGCAAGCAGGCACACTAGCCACTACACCACCAGGCCATCTGGTTTGTATTCCTCAAAAACATTTTCGTAAAATAACTCGCATTTGCGATTTGCGTTCTGGAAAAATTAAATACAGCCATCGGATTCGCCGCAAAATTCTACGCAACTCCTAAACGCACACCGATTGTTCAGCAAATGTCTGCGTCTATTTGCATTCCTTTGAAACCCGTTATTTTTTACATTCAACTTTGAGAGATTTTAGAGATAAAGTCTAAATAGACGAAAGCCTGGACTTTGCACAGCTTTAAATATAATAAGCACAATAAATATTCCTTTTTCCAGCTGAATTTCATATCAAAACCGTAGAAACAAAGCTTGCTTGGTAAATTGCTTAGCAGATGCTTGGATTCCTTCGAAACCCGTTATTTTTTACATTCAACTTTGAGATATTTTAGAGATAAAGTCTAAATAGACGAAAGCCTGGACTTTGCACAGCTTTAAATACAATAAATCTAATAAATATTCCTTTTTCCAGCTGGATTTCGTATCAAAACCTTAGAAATAAAGCTTTCTTGGTAAATTTGCTTAGCAGATGCCAGCGTTGGCTTCGATTTCTTTGAAATCTGTCGATTTTTAAGACATTAAATTGATTCAAATGAAAAAAGATTACTTAAACTTTTGAAATCAGCTGAATTTTGAAGTAAACTCTTCAATAAATACTTTATTAGTCTTCGAAAAAGTTTTAAAATTTAAAAATTGATCTCGAAAAGTTCTCACTCCAATTGCTTTACTTTTTTGCCTCAATAGAACTGTTTTTAAAAGGTCAAACACCATAAAAAAACAATTTTGCTTATTAAAATTGAATATTTGAATCAAGATTGTTTTCTGATTAAGGTAAAAGTCACCTGAAAACTTTTTACTGATTAAAAAAAGCATCACCTGCCCTCGTTTCTATGTCAACAGTTGGCCAGGTGGTGAAATTTTTGAAAGAATAAAAGCAGCAGCTACAAATTACCCATTTCACTTCTCATTCATCAAGGACAATTGCTAATATTTTTCATTTTAAAAGTTTTTTAATTCAACTTAAACTTACAGGTAACAATGGTGGCCTTGAACTTTGCAGAGGAAAAGCCAAAAGTTGAGCAAGTAAAGGAGAAAGTAGAGGTAAAAAAAGTCAATGTTTCAAATTTTATTAAGTAAATGTTAAATTCAATTAATTAATGATTTTCAGGATTTTTTTTGAATACCTTATTTTCTCTAATAGTAGTGCACCCCGGCGAGCCGAGTTGGTGACTATTTTACGGTTTCCAAGCTTTTGCAGAAGCTCAACACTCAAATCCCCCACTAGATCTCATCGTCAGCTACATTTTCCGACCCCACATCGATAGATTCTGATAAGCGGTTCTCGAGGTTTCGAACAATTTAGGCGACGCTCTAGGTGCACTACTATTAGAGAGAATAGGGTATATAGGAGAGTTGATTGAACTAAAGAGCTCTGAGAAAATCGAGAGAAAAGACTTGCAATTTAGATCGCATTGTTCTCTTAATTTAGCTGTTTTAATGATGTGATGGGATTTGGAATTTGGAGTAAAGATCCAGTCAGAGTGCCCGGTGACAAGGTATCAATACCTTAAAAGGACTGAATCTTGTTTTAAAACCAACAGTTCAGCTTTGTTTGAGTTTTGAACACAATGGTAGTGTTGTTGTGTTATTAAAGCCTCGATGTTATCAGAGCAAATGATTTTTAAATAAAACTAATGTAAAAAGGAGAAATTTTGGATCTCTCGGCTTTTGAAAGTCAAACTTTGTTTAGAAATATATTAACTTTTTATATATTTTTAGCGAGGACTTAAGGCCTTTAGATGATATTACCGTATTTTCTCTAGTGCACCCCGCTGAGCCGAGTTGGACTATTTTACCGCTTCCAAAGTTTTCACAGAAGCTCAACACCCTAATCCCCCACTAGATCTCATCGTCAGCTACATTTTCCGACCCCACATCGATAGGTTCTGATAAGCGGTTCTCGAGATTTCGAGCAATTTAGGCGAGGCTCAGGGTGCACTACTATTAGAGAAAATACGGTATTAGCGTTAACAGAAAATTAAACTAATGAAAACAAATGTCTTTTATCCCCACAAACATTTTTCTATTTCAGATTTTGTCATTTCAAAAGATATTGATTTTTTTAAGTATATAGATAAAAAAGATTTAATTCAGCTTAAACGCCTTAAAATAAAGTAAAACAGCAGTACACAAATTCCTAGGTCCTGGGTATTTTCATTAGGCTTTTCGATTGTAGTTCTGATATTGAGGATGAGCTTCAGTAACGTTTTTGATCTTAAGCCAATACTTTGAACTTGTCCCAAAAAATCAGGCCAAAATTCCGGCTGGGACTTGAGTTATGAGATGAATGGACAGACACACACACACACACACAAAACACGCTGGAAACTTTGCGTCTTATAATAAGCAAGGTTTTATATTAGTAATGAAAATGATTTTTTTAAGAATTCAATGGTTAACCATTCATTGAATGCTTAAATTTAACCGTAATAGTTAGAATTTTGAAACTCAGCTTTTTCCTTTTTAAATTTTTCGAAAAGTAACAGTTTTTTACAAGGTTTTGCTAAAGTTTAGATAACAATTTTCAAATTTTCTATTAAATTCTATTAAATATTATGTAAAATGTGAGTAAGATGGCATAAAATTAGAGCTAACGACGCAGCAGGACAAGTTTTATAGAGTTTAACTTGTTGGGGAACTCTGAAGTTGCCGGTATTCTAACGGACAAGTTTCAAAGAGTTTTACCGTTAGCAGACTCAACTCATACCTTCAAAGTCACATTTGCATCGTTCAGGAAGAGCAAATCGAGGTGCCGCCAGTCTACAAGTCCGACTTTGAGTTGCCCAAGTCTCGCAGCAGAAATGGGGTTGGTTTAGAAAAAGATCAAACATTATACTCAATTAAGGCAACTAGTCAAGTTCATGCTTACGGACATAACAAAGCTCTCATTGTACCTCAACAATTTCAGCTTCAAATCGTCGCTACAACAATCACCGTCCAGGTGGCAACACTGATCATTTTTGCTTCATTTTTCAAACAGTTTGTTTTAAATTGAAACTTTTCTATCCCAAATTCGGTCAATTTTGAAAAAAAGCATGAATTTGCGAGCTCTAGGTACAATTTCCCAGCTCTAGGTACAATTTCCCAGCTCTAGGTACAATTTCCCAGCTCTAGGTACAATTTCCCAGCTCTAGGTACAATTTCCCAATCGGGCACACGCTGAAGATGTCGATAATCGTCACCTGGTGGTGCTCATCTCAATTGGTCGCCTCCTTCATCACACGGAAAGTAATAATCTCCTATTGGAGCACCGGAAACCATTTCCCTGTCGGGCTCATGAAACTTTTGATGGTTGGTTAGAAGAAAAATAGAAACGAAGAAATCGCTAAACTTGCTAAACTGCAAGAAAAGCACTAAAATTTCCTCAAAATTGAGCTCCGATAAATCTCATAATCGCAATTTAGATCCTCTACATGGTGAGCTCGTATTTTGCCCTGTGCACCATCCTCTTCTTTGCCTATTACAAGAATCTGCTCCTCAACTCGGATCTTCGTCCACAACTTCTTGGTAAAAACATCTAAACATGCGCTATTAGCTCAGCTCATTGCTTTGTTTGATTCGAAAACTTTACGACTTTATACACCTACTGATTGATGATTGATTGATGATTGATTGATGATCAACATTGATGATCACCTACTGATCGATGAAATGATTGCCAGTTTGAAGCTGCTTAACTTGAAACATTGAGAATTTAATCTTCAAGACATCAACTCTAACTAGGACTTTTGGTTGAAATCCGGGTATTTTGAATGACTTGAAGATTCATACCGTATTCTCTCTAATAGTAGTGCATTCCTCCGAGACGAGTTGATGACTATTTTACGGTTTCTAAGTTTTCGCAGAAGCTGAACATTCTAATCTCCCACTAGATCTCATCGTCAGTTACATTTTCCGACCCCACATCGATAGGTTCTGATAAGCGCTTTTCGAGATTTCGAGCAATTTAGGCAACGCTCAGGGTGCACTACTATTAGAGAGAATACAATAACTCTAACCAGAGATAATATTTCATGAACTTTTATTGTATTGAAGAAACTTTAGGCTTTCGATTGAGACAAGAAACAATCAGACTAGATAATCCAGTCAAAAATGAGTGATGTACTTGGTCGTATTCGCAAGCTTGAAGTGTTCTCTATACAATGATAATGTCCAGATTCAGAAACGATCAACTAGAAAAGTTTCATAGCCAAAATTGATTTCTGAAACTCCATAAAACATTGAACTTTTCAGCTTTCTCCATTCTGATCCCTTTGCACTTGATTTTGGCAATCGGCTGGTGGCGAATCGAGGAGAAGATGATCGCCAAGGAGAATCACCGAGAAATCTCGCTCTTTTCCCCCAAAGGACTTGGAGGATTTTTGAAGAAATTCTATGAGTAAACCAGCAAAAAAAGTGGCCCAAAACATGTTGTGTAGAAATTTTGTAGCAAAAAATCCTGCAATCCGATAAATTGAAGAACGAAAACCAATTTTATTTACCATAACTTTGAAACTCGAACTTTTTTATCGTGTTTTTCAAATGAAAGAAATCAACTGACTCAATTTTTAAATTAAAAAGTGAAAAAAAAAGGTTAGACACAATGAAACTGAAATTTTGTAGCACAAAAAGTCTTGCAATCCGACAAACTGAGAAACGACAAAACCAATTTTATTTAGTATAACTTTGAAACTCGAACTTTTTTATCGTCTTTTTCAAGTTTTGATTTTACTTCTAGGAGCCCCGATCTTGTTTCACCTTGAGTACTTTTTCGTGTAAATTAAAAAGTTTTCCATGTGCTTTTCTTGCATCAAACGATAGTTGTCGAGCCTACTCATTCTCTAAATTAAAAAGTGAAAAAAAGGGACTCAAAAAATGTGATATATAGAAATTTTGTAGCAAAAAAAACCCTGCAATGAAATAAATTGAAGAACGAAAACCAATTTTAATTACTATAACTTTGAAACTCGAACTTTTTTATTTGTGTTTTTCAACTGAAAGAAAGAAATCCAGTGACTCATTTTTTAAATTAAAAAGTCAAAAAAAGGTTAGACACATTGAAACTGAAATTTTTCGTTAGCATGCTAGTTCAAAAATTTTGTTTGTATATTTCTTGGTTTTGTTTTGGATTTTTGATTAATAATTGTTTTTGCTGTTGACAAATGAAGACACATCAACATTATCCAGAGGAATTATAGCAATAAACAGTCAAAGAGAAATCTCGCTCTTTTCCCCCAAAGGACTTGGAGGATTTTTGAAGAAATTCTATGAGTGGATCAGAAAAAAAAAGTGGCTCAAAACATGTGATGTGTGGGAATTTTGTAGCAAAAAGAGCCTTGCGATCATCTAACTGAAGAACGAAAACCAATTTTAATTAGTATAACTTTGAAACTAGAACGTTTTTATCGTCTTTTCCTAGTTTTGAGATTTTACTTCTAGAGGTCGTGTTTTTCAACTGAAAAAAAAAAGTTAACTGACTCAATTTTTAAATTAATATAATTTGAGCTCATTGCTGTGGTCGATTTGAAAATTTTACGACTTTATACACCTACTCAAGAAATGATTGCCGGTTTGAAACGGCTTAACTTGAAACATTGAGGCTTTGATCTTCAAAACTCTAACTAAGGCTGTTGGCCGAAATCCGGGCATTCTAGATGGCTTGATGGCTCATAACTTTATCCAGAGAGAATATTTGATTAACTTTTATATTATTGTATGGAGGAACCTTCAGGCTTTCGAATGATACATGAAACAGCCAGATTGTATAATCCAATCGAAAATGAGTGGTCTTATTTGAAAGCCTGAAGTGCTCTCTATACAATGATAATGTCCAGATTCAGATCAGATTTTGAAACGATAAACTAGAAAAGTTCCATAGCCAAAATTGATTTCTGAAACTCGATAAAACATTGAACTTTTCAGCTTTCTCCATTCTGATCCCTTTGCACTTGATTTTGGCAATCGGCTGGTGGCGAATCGAGGAGAAGATGATCGCCAAGGAGAATCACCGAGAAATCTCGCTCTTTTCCCCCATAGGACTTGTAGGATTTTTGAAGAAATTCTATGACTAAACCAGCAAAAAAAACCTCAAAATGTGATTTTTGCAAATTTTGTAGCACAAAAATCGGACAAACCGAGGAACGAAAACCAATTTTATTTAGTATAACTTTGAAACTCGAACTTTTTTTATCGTCTTTTTCAAGTTTTGATTTTACTTCTAGGAGCCCCGATCTTGTTTCACCTTGAGTACTTTTTCGTGCAAATTAAAAAGTTTTCCATGTGCTTTTCTTGCATCAAACGATAGTTGTCGAGCCTACTCATTCTCTAAATTAAAAAGTGAAAAAAAGGGACTCAAAAAATGTGATATATAGAAATTTTGTAGCAAAAAAACCCTGCAATCAGATAAATTGGAGAACGAAAACCAATTTTACTTAGTTTAACTTTGAAACTCGAACTTTTTTATCGTGTTTTTCAACTGAAAGAAAGAAATCAAATGACTCAATTTTTAAATTCAAAAGTCAAAAAAAGGTTAGACACATTGAAAATTAATTTTTGAAGAAATTCTATGAGTAGATCAGAAAAAAAACGTGGCTCAAAATATGTTGTGTAGAAATTTTGTAGCAAAAAATCCTGCAATCTGATAAATTGAAGGACGAAAACCAATTTCACTTAGTATAACTTTGAAACTGGAACTTTTTTTTATCGTGTTTTTCAAGTTTTGATTTTACTTCCAGAATTTGACTTTACTTTTACTTCCTTGAGTACTTTTTCGTGTAAATTTTAAAAGTTTTCCATGTGCTCTTCTTGCATTCCAACGATGCTTGTCGAGCCTACTCATTCCTTAAATTAAAAAGTGAACCAAAAGTTTAACCCATTGAGCACTGAAACACAAACACACACATAACACATTGAAAATCCGGTATTTCGATTGGTAACTCAAGATTCTCTGTGTTTTCTTGCTTTTCATTACCCTATATTTAATAAAATTTGTGGTTGTTTATAAACAAAATAAAGCAACAATATCCGGAGACGCAGTTGCCAATAATAGATAGTCAATTAATTTTTTTAAAGTTCAACTAATCGACAGTTTCAAGGAACACAAATAGTCCATTAAATTTTCTAATTAATTTTCTAAAAATTTTCCAAAAAGCTCTAATAAAGTTTCTTCGGGCGTGTCTCGAGCCATTTTTTGATTTCCGGGATTGCCTCGATGCGCTCTTTGTGCGCAATGATCTGTAAAAGTTAGTTTCAAAGTTGAGAAGATGAAGGTGAAGTAAAATCAGTAATTGCGTTTTGAATTGAATTAAATCATTGAATTGAATTTAGCCACCTGTGGATATTTGTCAAAGCAATGGGGAACGAGTTTCTCGAAGCCGCTCACATGAATCGCCAGCCGCAAATCAGCGTACGAGATTTTCGAAGTCTAAATGAAATAAAAAACAAAAGTTTCAACATTTCTCCTAAACTTGGCCCAAAATTTCGCTCAAAAACCCACCAAAAACTCGCTGTTCGATCGTTTCAAATATCTCTCAATGACAATCGGAAAGAATTTGTCTCTCGCCGGCTCGAAATGGCTTTTGTAGAGTTGATCCTGGGCGCAAATGGGTTATTTGATAATTCGACGCTAGTTGAGAAAGTCAAAATCAAGCTTAGCTATGACTTTAGTGCATGGACGATCTGAAGCTATATTATAGTTAAACAAGCACGCAACAACCCTTGAAAGAGCTAAACTTTTTGAGAGGTTGCTCAAAAAGTTGCTTGTTTCAAATTTATCGGCTTTTTTAGCAGTTCAGACTTTAGTGCATGGACGATTTGAAGTTATTTTTGCAAAACTTAAACAATTACTTTATCCCCAGGTCCCTCGCCAACAAGTGCCGCAAAAAATCCGGCTTGTTCCCCAAAATAGTCAGTCATCGCGTCTTCGAATTCGTCGATTTGAAATGCTTCAAAATCATTTGTTCCAGCAAATCCTGGAAGAATGAAGCAATGCAATGCAACATTTTCTTTGTTGCAACAACATTGCAACAACAAAAGCTTCCAAATGAGCTTGTTGTTCGTTGCAAACAAACAATTTTGAAAGATAAAAAGGTTATTTTAGAGTGTTAAGACTATTAAAAAATGATGTCATATCAAAATAGTGATATCGTTCAATTTAAAAACCAATAAATGAATCAATAACCAAGAAATGAAAACTTTCTTGACACCAACCAAACTTTCGTCCCAGATACCGATTGATCGCTCTAGATTGAGCCATTTTCTCTCCACCATCGATTTCGAGAGTGGGCAATTGGCCGAAAGGAGTGTCTGGACTTTGTGAGGTATTGTTTGGATTGGATTATCGATAAACAAAACAAATCTATGACTGAAATTAAACAGAACTAACAACTGTAAGTACTGTAAGTCTAGTGTTAGATTTGTGGGTTTTTTTCGATAAAATTGCACTTGGTCCGTCCTTGTGTTCTTATTTGAAACTTTGTTTTTGAACTTTCGAAAAAGTTCAATTAGAGTCCTAAAGTATATAAATTTGATCAATTATTTGATAAAGAGCAAGCAATTTGCTAATCAAATCTAAATTCTTTAATTAATGACATATTCTTTAGCCGTTTTCAAAATTTATCTTCGAAAAGGAACCAATTCTGTACCGAGAAGGAATAAATCTATAGAGAAAAGGAACCAAATCTGTAGAGAAAAGGAACCAAATCTGTATAGAAAAGGAACCAAATCTGTATAGAAAAGGAACCAAATCTGTACCGAGAAGGAATAAATCTGTAGAGAAAAGGAACCAATTCTGTACCGAGAAGGAACCACTCCTTCTTCCGTAACTAACACTAAAACCTTTTAGAATCCTCAAAAACGAACGAAAGATTGTTTTCTTATTTAAATATTGTTTCTTTCTACAGATCAAAACTTTTGTTAAGAGATTATGAGGAAATCATTATCGAAAATGAATTTTTTTATGATTTCTGTGGTGTTAACTTTGCCTTTAGCAAAATTTTACCTGCTTTCAATGCTTCCCACTCCTCTTTGTTCTCCCATTTGATCCGAATATCTTCAAACGGAATACCAGCCAGGGCGAAGAGTTGACGAGTTACCTAAAGAAAAACAATTTGGCTATTATTCAATAATTTAAGCATCTTTCAACGATAGTGAATTGAATCATCAAATTGTTTCAAGAGTGTTTGTTGAAATTGAAACTTTAAGCTCTTTAAGTTAACGATAAAATCAAGATTTACCTCTCCTCTGCCTCCCAAATCAAAATAGGTATACTTGTAGTGGTGATCGGTCATGGCTGGAATATAAAAAACTATAAACTTCTTAAAGCAAACTGTAAAAAAAAGTTTTTAAGTCTATAAGTCAAAAAATAAGGCAAAAAAGTTAGGATTGGCTAAACAGCTTTTAATTTAAATTGTCTAAATTGAAAAAAGCTTTTTTTGCCTTGTAAAAGTGCAAAAAAATTGCTTAATCGTAAAATATATTCATATTAAACAATAAAAACAATGAAAAGTTGGGATGAAATTTTGAAAACAAGCACTGAGCTGTGTTTTGCAGAATACCGTATTTTCTCTAATAGTAGTGCACCCCGCTGAGTTGGACTATTTTACAGCTTCCAAAGTTTTCCCAGAAGCTCAACACTATAATCCCCCACTAGATCTCATCGTCAGCTACATTTTCCGACCCCACATCGATAGGTTCTGATAAGCGGTTCTTGAGATTTCGAGCAATTTAGGCGACGCTCAAAGTGCACTACTATTAGAGAAAATATGGTATTAGCGTTAACAGAAAATTAAACTAATGAAAATAAATGTCTTTTATCGCCACAAACATTTTTCTATTTCAGATTTTATTATTTCAAAAAAGATATTGATTTTTAGGAGATAAAAAAGGAGATTTAATTCAGCTTAAAGGCCTTAAAATAAAGTAAAACAGCAGTACACAAATTCCTAGGTCCTGGGCATTTTCATTAGGCTTTTCTAGGCTTCACTAGGCTTTCCTAGGCTTCACTAGGCTTCACTAGGCTTTTCTAGTGAACCGGGTCCGGGTCAAAGTACCGTATTTTCCCCGCTGATGATTTTTTACGGTTTCCAGGCTATTGCAGAAGCTCAACACTCTAATCCCCCACTAGATCTCATCGTCAGCTACATTTTCCGACCCCACATCGATAGGTTCTGATAAGCGGTTCTCGAGATTTCGAGCAATTTAGGCGACGCCCAAAGTGTACTACTATTAGAGAGAATACGGTATATCTAAATGCCTGTTTAGTTAAATGATTGCAAAAAGGCACCCTTGGATTAGAAATCCCAAACTTCCTTTTACTTGATTTAAATTGAAACCAGGTTTTTAAAAAAAAATGATTAGTTGTCGACTTATGAAAGCTATATTTCAAAATCTGTTAACAAAATAAAGTTTTTTTTTTCATTATCTTGTTCATTTTTATTTCTGATTAGCTGGCTTGTTCAAACCTGTTGAAACGAACTTTGAAACACGTAAATTTTTAGGGAAAGCAATAAGAAAAAGCACAAAAAGCGAAAAAAGAAAAAAGTCTTATCTAGCTTCAAGAAAAATGTACAAACAAAAAAAATGAGAGCAGAAATATTAGATTTTTTTTGGATCAAAAAATGAAGTGAGAAATGACCAAAATGTTCCGCCAATTATCAATAGCAATATTGAGTCAATTCATCTCAAATTGAAACATGCAATTTTTACTTTTGCTTTACACATTCACGATAAAGTGATTTTTCTCTTGGCTGCCTTTTTGGACGATTTATATTAGCTGTTGAGTTGAAAATTTGTAATCAGAGGCATTCTGCGATGGAGAATCTGAATCCGGCATTAGTTTTTGAGAAACTTTAATTTCTGAGTCAATACGGTGATCACAAAACTCTAAAATTTGGGTAATTAAATCGAATTGGAGAAAAAAAAGAGTGAAATCGAGTTTGGTTTTTAGCTTTTATCTCGGATTGTTTTAAAGAGCAAGGAGGCAAAAAGATTGCTACGTTTTAGAAAGCAAATTAGTTGCGTGGAAATCAAAGTTTTTGTCATTCAAAGTTTTTGGCAGTCAAAGTTTTTCGCATTCAAAGTCGAGCAATAGGATTTGAATGTTTTTCAAGAATCTTTTTCAACTAAAGAATTGTATTTTATGAATTTGTTTGTTTATTTGTTGATTTGCTTGTATGTGCAATGTTTTTTTATGCAAATTTATTCTTTTATAACATATTTCGTTTAGAAGGGATTCTTTGGACGAGTCTCGATCCATTTCTTGATCGCCGGGATCGATTCGATTTTCTCTTTGTGAGCGATGAGCTAAAAAATAAGCGGAAATTTTCAATTTTAGATTAGCCGCTTAGAGATTCTAAGTTAAATGCTAAACGTAAAACGAACCATTTAGTTTTCTCACCTCTGGATATTTATCGAAAGCGTGTGGCATCAGTCCTTGAAAGCTTCCGATATGCGATGCGCACAAGAGATCCGCGTATGAAACCTTGTTTCCGATCTGAATTGGTAAAAGAATTGTAGAAAAATTGTTTCATTTATCAGCTTTCTTACCAAAAATCCACTTGAATTTTTCTTGAGATATTTCTCGACAAAAATCGGGAAATATTTGTCACGAGCCGGTTCGAAGAGTTCTTTCATGGCAGCGTCCTGAAAGAAATGGATAAGATGGATAAGGAATGAGTTTGATTGAGAACAATCCAAGCTATTGAACGATAAAAAGCCAAATCGTTCAATTAAACCAGTTCTAACTAGTCGGCTTACTAAAACGAATGGCTTCAATCCATTTGCCGATCTTGAAAACCCCCGGGTACAAGTTTAAAGCTATCTTTTTGTACTATCTACAAAGCAATCTCTATGTAAATAATGGTGTTCTTTTTTGGTCGCGTAATCGCTCGCTTTCTGGTAAACCGCGCCGGTATATAAGACTACCCTTTAGGAGTCCGTTTAGGAAAAATCCTTTAGGAAGAAAAGGGAAGAAGCGGTGAGCGACGGAGCCGATTTCCCCCTTTCCCGGGCTCCATGCTCGGATCTCTGGGAACAATTTTTGCCTCAAATTTGACTGGATCTTTACTCCAAATTCCAAAATCCATCAAATCATTACAAGCAGCTAAATTAAGAGAACAATGCGATCTAACTTGCAAGTCTTTTCTCTCGATCTTCTCAGAGCTCTTTAGTTCAATCAACTCTCCTATATAATATCATTTAAAAGCCTTAAGTCCTAGCTAAAAATATATAAAAAGCTAATATATTTCTAAACAAAGTTTGACTAATCATTCAAAAGCCGAGAGAGCCAAAATTTCTCCTTTTTACATTAGTTTTATTTAAAAATCATTTGCTCTGATAACATCGAGACTTTAATAACATAACAACACTACCATTGTGTACAAAACTTAAACAAAGATGAACTATCGTTTGTAAAACAAGATTCAGTTGTTTTAAGACATTGATACCTTGTCACCGGGCACTCTGCCGGCCATGATCGAGAAGAAATTCTTCTGCTCGTTGAAATAGTCGTGCATCGTGTCGGAGAGAGCATCGATTTGAGCCGCCTCCCAGTCATTAGCCCCAGAGAAACCTAAGCGATTTGGAAACGATTGAAAAAAACGTTTTGAATTGATAGTCGACTTTTCAGACTAAGATTAGTTAATATCAATTAACCAAACCTTTGTTCAATTGTACATTCTTTTGGTTTTAAACGAAAGTACGAAAAGAAAACGAAAAGACTTTCTGGACAGGCTAATAAAACAAATTTATTCGATTAAACGCACAAAAAACAAAAGATTCCCGAAACTCACCAAATTTCCTCGCCAAGTAGCGGGCGATGGTCATTGATTGGGCCAACACGACACCGTCCACCTCAAGGAGTGGCATTTGACCGAATGGAGTCTCTGAAAAGTGATAAAAGATCTATATTTTAATTCTAAAAGTGACTGAATCATCTTGTACACAATTTTAATATCCATGAAAACATTTGAAACATTCTATATTTCAAAATCCTATTCTATAAACACTTTCGAAAGACAAACTTTCAGTTAAAAAGTTCATGTTTCACTTTTCTGGAGGTAATAAAGAGCTCAAGGAAAGCAATTTTTCCATTTATTATTTGTTATCATTGTTATGACACGATTTATTTTTTTCCTAATACCGTATTTTCTCTAATAGTAGTGCACCCCGGCGAGCCGAGTTGGTGACTATTTTACGGTTTCCAAGCTTTAGCAGAAGCTCAATACTCAAATCCCCCACTAGATCTCATCGTCAGCTACATTTTCCAATCCCACATCGATAGGTTCTGATAAGCGGTTCTTGAGATTTCGAGGAATTTAGGCAACGCTCAGCGTGCACTACTATTTGAGAAAATACAGTAATAGTCTAATAGTTTTTTTGATGATTATTTCGAAATTAAAATCAAAATGTAACTAGTTCAAGTTTATAAGAACAAAATTACTCAAATATACTATACAACCAGAACATGACTGCTTTACTAGTGCTTAGTTTGCTTTTAGTCTATCAGCTCCGGATAGCTTAGTGGATAGCTTAGTGGAAATGGATAACTTTAGTTTCATCGATACAAAAAGCAAAACTTCTTTACGGACACAAGTTCAAAAGTAAATCATGTTTCTGACAGTTTTTTTCAAGATCTACTCCATAGTTTAATAGTTATAATAATAGTTTCAAAAGCTTACTTGGCTTAAATTCAGGCCATTCCTCGAAAGAAACGCGATGATCTTCATAAGGAACACCGGCTAAAGCGAAGAGTTGACGAGACACCTAAAAAAAAGTGTAATCAAAAGAAATTAAACAATCAACATCAAAAAAACGAAAATCTAGCTCAGTTTGAAACTCAAAAATAATTGCTTTCTAAAAATTTAATTGCGTTCTAGTTGCGTTCTAGTTGCGTTCTAGTTGCGTTCTAGTTGCGTTCTAGTTGCGTTCTAGTTGCGTTCTAGTTGCGTTCTAGTTGCGTTCTAGTTGCGTTCTAGTTGCGTTCTAGTTGCGTTCTAGTTGCGTTCTAGTTGCGTTCTAGTTGCGTTCTAGTTGCGTTCTAGTTGCGTTCTAGTTGCGTTCTAGTTGCGTTCTAGTTGCGTTCTAGTTGCGTTCTAGTTGCGTTCTAGTTGCGTTCTAGTTGCGTTCTAGTTGCGTTCTAATTGCGTTCTAATTGCGTTCTAATTGCGTTCTAGTTGCGTTCCGCAAAATAAGGGATGGTCAATAAGGGTCAATAAGGTCAGGGACGCATTGCAACTCGTTTAACGACTAAACTATGACAAATTTTGAAACATTACTTTTTTCAAAAGCGGTTTTTTGCGCAAATCATTCAGACCAACAATAGAATCTTTTTTTACATTTAACTGAAACTTTTTTTAAATAATTTGAAACCCAAAAGTTCACTCGATCTTTTTTTAAAGTTAAAGCGTTAAAGTAAAGTTGTTTTTTAAACTTAAAGTTCTAAAGTAAAGTTGTTTTTGAAAGTTAAAGTTTGTTTCAAGTATAAAATACCAGCAAATTTACCGGAATAGCTTTTTATACTACCTATCGTAAATACTGTAATAGTACCACACCCCCATAATGACGGTGCGGAGTGTTGCGTAGTCTAGCTTTGAACGAGTTTTTCTCGACACTGGTTTATGCTACAATGCGCGCTTAGGTATCAAAAAATAGCTGAAATTCAGGGCTATTTTTTGATACTAAACATGCATTTATAGAAATTATGGGCGCTTAGAAAAAAATGAAATCCAAAAAAACTTTTGTGACTACACGACTGTACGATGGGGGGTGGGGTACTATTACAGTATTTACGGTAATTTTAATTGCAAATTTCTAACTGATAGTTTAGAGTGGTAAAAACGAATACGAGATCAACTTTTCAAAAATTCAAGTCCATTCTGAGTCTGGATTTTCACTCAGAGCTGGCTTCTTTACAGTTTTTGAAGTGTCAACAATAGAACATGTTTGTATTGCACTCATTGCTGTACTCATGCACTTATTGCTGTACGCATGCACTCATTACTGTACTCATTACACTGTACAATCATTCACAAAGTCTTATTCTAAGACTACTTCAAAAAATAAAGCAAAAATTTCAAGAAATCAGCGTGTCAAAGTTGAAAAAGTTCAAAAGTTTTCTTTTCAAAGGTTAAAGTTAACAGTGATACGAAAATATATTCAAATTTGCTTTGCAATTTGCAAAAATTCAAATTTGCTTTGCAATTTCCACTGTACCTCAGCTCTTCCACGCAAATCGAAATAAATGAGTTTGTAGTGAGGCATTTTTTATTTAGTAAAGAAACACGAAACGAATTTGAAAGTGATGAATGAATTCACGAGTGAATTCAGCAAAAAATTCCCCTTTTCTCCTTCATTTTCTTATCAGTTTTCTCTCTTTGGAAATAAATATTATGTGGGGTGAGTGTGTGTGTGTAAATTTTGGCTTTTCTCTTTGAAAAGCTTTTTCCTTTGAAAAGCTTTTCTCGAAAACTCTTTAGATTAGAGTATTCGGAGTGATAAACAAAAAGAAAAAAACTGAAAAATTTTGGAAAAAGCTCGGTTTTCTATGAATACCAATGACGAATATCTGAAAATTTATGAAAAAAAACGATACTTTGTCATAGACATTGGCACTATAGGCTACAAAAATGACGAACTGTCAAAATACAAACGTTTCTAACTTCTCTTAAATCTCCTGGATTGATCTATAGCTCAAAAAATAAAGAATCTCTAGAGCTTTCAAAGCAAATCTATGCTATATGAATGCTAATGAAAGAAAGTGAGAGTGGTTTTAAGGAAACCGACCGTACTCGCGTACGCTTTTGTTCTTTTAAGTTGATCCAAATTCTTCTAGCAAAATTTAAAATCATTCTGGGTTCTTATTCAAAGTTATTAAGTTTTGAATTGACTCTGACTTTGCTTGGCTAACCAAGGTTCTCAATTTTTTGAATTACTAATTCACGAAAAAAATACTGACTTCTTTAAGCGGCTTATATATATATGTTGTGTCCGATTTAGATTGAATCTAAATCGGACGTCCGATTTAGATTGAACTTATCGCGGACGTCCGATTTAGATTACAGTCTATATCGGACGTCCGATTTAGATTCAATCTAAATCTTATATGGATTGAACAATAATATAAACATGCTTAATATATGTTCTTAAGCGTTTTCTGTAGTTTTGTGCATTTTTCAAAGGTCTTTTATTGATTACAGTCTATATCGGACGTCCGATACAGATCGAACAATAATAAACGTGCTTAACATATGTTCTTTGAAAATTTCTTTGAAAAGCGCAGAAAATTGCAAAAAAACGCTTAAGAACATATATTAAGCACGTTTATTATTGTTCGATCTGTATCGGACGTCCGATATAGACTGTAATCTAAATCGGACGTCCGCGATAAGTTCAATCTAAATCGGACGGAAATCTAAATCGGACACAACATATATATAGATACTTTATTCAGGACCTGAGATAAAGTGCGCTGGATTTAAGATTAAAACACATGAATTCATACGCATAACACGAAAAGGGCCGATAAAAAGAAACACGGTATAATATATGTAAAATGTGGGTAGCACAGATAACGTCAAGGGTATGAGGAGAAAAACTCAATGTTTCAATGTTTGTGGGTTTGTTTCCAAAAGCGATTGGCTATCAGTTAATCTAGTTATCGAAGTCTAGTTACCTAGTTAACGATTCTTTAGTTTTGTTTTTGCTTCTGACTCGAAATCTGCTTTTAATCCTAAATTTTATTATTCCAGGTTTATTATTTTTTCAGATTTCACAATTTGATTATTCCTAAATTTAATTCAGATTTTCTCTGAATTGACTCTGAAAAATTGACCTCTTATCTTTAAAAAAAAAGTGAAACTAAACGCAAAGAAAAACAAGGTTATATCGGTGGAACGCAAAACGAACAGATAAATCAAAAATCGAACGGGATAGACCTTAAAAAAAGGTGAGAAAATTTGGAAAAAAAGATTGCTTCAGAGATCGTTTGGAGATACAAAAGGTGTAGAAAAGGTAGATGAAATAAAAATTAGCGATCAGAATTCAAAGTTTTCAAGTTTCCGCTGGTAAATTCCGTTTCAGGGAAATGAAAGCCGCTTTCTTGTCACTTTTCGCCACTTTGCTCACATTCACCAGTGAAATCGGTAAGATGAAACAAATTGTAAAAGATTTCTTTCAAATTTATCAACGCTAAATTTGATTTTACACAATTTTACTGTATTGGGTTGGTGGAAAAGTCCTTTCCGATTTTTTGGGAGAGTACCTTAAATTTGTCCAATTTTGACGTTTTATAGCTCATCCTAAAGCTGAATTCAAGACGGATCGATTGGTAAAAAACCGTTTTGAGATATCTCTTTTCTAAAAGTTTTTACAGCTATTTTAGTAAAGGGCAGCAAAGCCAAAAATGGCTGTTTTCACGTTTCGTTAGTTTTCCGTGCAGAAACCTAGGCTAAAAACATGTGTTTCGTGATCAGCGTCAAAAATAACCCCTAGACACAAATTTTCAGAATCTTAGCAAAAAATTTTTGAAAAATATTGTCACCGGTGGAAGTCGAACCAGCGACCCTCAGATCAATAGCCTTTCCTCCGCATTTCACGATTTTCCTTCGTTTTTCTCGTTTTTTTGTTGTACCCTAAAATTTACCATAATAACAAAAAAACAAGAAAAAAAGGACGAGCTATAAAACGTCAAAATTGGACAAATTTAAGGTACTCTCCCGAAAAATCCGAAAGGACTTTTCCACCAACCCAATACATAAAACTCAAAGAAGATATCGATTACGTTTGTCCGTTCATCCGTCTGTCCATCCGTTTGTCCGTTCATCCGTCTGTCCATCCGTCTGTCCATCCGTCTGTCCATTCGTCTTTCCATTCGTCTGTCCATTCGTCTGTCCATTCGTCCGTCGGTCTGTTCGTCGGTCTGTTCGTCGGTCTGTTCGTCGGTCTGTTCGTCGGTCTGTTCGTCGGTCTGTTCGTCGGTCTGTTCGTCGGTCTGTTCGTCGGTCTGTTCGTCGGTCTGTTCGTCGGTCTGTTCGTCGGTCTGTTCGTCGGTCTGTTCGTCGGTCTGTTCGTCGGTCTGTCCTCTCTTATTCAAGAGCGGCTTTTTCTTGCTGAAAATTTGTACTCGGAGGTTTTCGACTACGCTGATTTCGAATCTGAAGTCAGAAAAACTCTATCTTGCACACAGGCCAGGTTTGACCGAATTGAGTGTCGCGTAGTTGCTGCTCAGGGCTTGGCTTGACGGATTTCGATATGTGCTATATTTTTGGATAGAGAATCGAAAATAAGTGGATAGAGTTCAGGGTTTAGCTTAAAACTAAATATCCAATGGTAAAAAGAGTCATAGTAAAAGTGAGAACAGAATTTCCGTTTCAAAATAAAAGCTTGAGTTTCAAATTATTGGTTTAGAACTGTGCTCCATTCCGAAATAATTGGCCCTTGATGTGCTAGACGTTGAAATTAAATTTTGCAAAGTCTAGTTTCAATTTCATCTTTCAATTGTTTTGTGAAAAAAATAACTGACTTTCAGGTTGAAAGCAGGAAAAGAAAATTTTCAATTTCAAATTTTGAGATTCAAATTCTTTGCCTACAACTGTGTACGGACCAAAACAACCGTGCTAGGCTCTTGCTAGCAAAACTGCTTGCAATCGTGCTAGGCTAATAAAACAATGGTTCTTGTTTGTTCAAATTTGTGTATTTTGAAAATAGATCAACCCGTTGTCTATTTCTAATCCAATTCCCAAGGAACCGACTAATCAGAAACCAATAAGATTGTGCAGAAAAGTAGCTCTTTTCTGTGAAATCTTATTTGATGCTTTGATTTTGAATATCTCTGATACTTCTTCTTGAATATCTTCCTCTAAAGGTCATTTGTGTGATAAAAGGGGACGGAGCACACTTTGTATTCTTTCTCGTTTGGCTTTGACACACTGAACCAACGATTGATTCTATTTTATTGTATTTTCTCGCTAGATTAGTGATTGTGCTATATTCGGAATCAATATCTAAATAACCATTGCCCCATCGGTACTCTCTCAGGCTCTGCGCAAAGATCATTAAGATTTCAACAGAATTCTCTTTAGAATGCGGAATGGTGGAAGATGTTCAGGCGAGGAAAGAGCTTTTCTTCAAGCCTGGTGGTCAACTCGATGATGGCTTGAAAGCGTACGCGATCAAAAAAAATTACGCCACAAACGATTTCGCGAATCAGTTGATCGTAAGTAGATTTAGAACAAATAGACTTGATTCTTGGAAAAATCTTTGTTTCACTTTTCACAGGATCAAACAAAAGTGGTGTATTTTAGTAACAGAGTTTTTATTGGGTTGGTGAATTGAAAACTGCGGAACTTTGAACTAAAATTTATTCAACATAAAACCATCAATTCATTCCAAATAATTTCCATTATTATTGACGACTTCTGCCCATTTTACAGGCAATTTGCGGATTCCTCTTTCGTGGTAGGATTTTGGTTTGTGTGTGAGACAAGTGTGAGACTCAAAAATGGAGGACTGGAGATGTCCCAGTTTGAGCATTTGAGCACTTTCTTCAAAAGAAACCCATTTTGGTGTCAATAGAAAAGTTGTAGAGAATCAAAAATTAGGCTTATAGCCAAATTTCCAAAAATATACACTTAGTAGTTTCGCTTAAAATGCAAGTTTTGTGAAAATTCGTAAATTTGGCATTTCTTGAAAACCAGTTTTTGAATCGTTTTGAAAATTTGGATATAAGCGTCATTTTTGATTCTCTACAACTTTTCCATTGACACCAGAATGGGTTTCTTTTGAAGAAAGTGCTCAAACTATCACATATGACAATAGCCGGCAGTTTTCAATTCACCAACCCTATAGTTTTGTGTAGATAAATATCGTAGAATTGCAAACAGCAAACTTTATTGCAAACATTCAACAATGGCACTTTGGCATAACTTTTGGCCTAACATTTCACACCGTCCAACAAAATATCCGTTTCAAAAAAGTGACAAAATCAGTTTTAAGCTCAATTTCCTTTATTTCTCGTTTTATTTTCGAAAATCCCATTATATTTCTTGCTTCAGGGAGTCTTCCACAACATGAGCGCCACGCTGAACGATGCTGTGGCAAACACGCGAGTTTTTGAGAAAAGCAATCACGTTCTTGATGGCTTTGTGGGGTTTCACGAAAAAAATACAGATATATTAGACTTACAGAGAGTAGTTGGCGTTAGTGCCAGTGTGGTATCGAAAGTATGCGGAAATCGAAAAAATAGCTGAATACTTTCAGTTTTTTGGCAAAATTCTCGATATCATTGAGTTTAGAAAGACGGATCTGTTAGTTTATTCTCAAATTTCAGAAAGTCCGGGCTGGACTCGGCAAGCGATTGGCCGATTTGGGAGCCGCTGCGGACAAGGATTTCCAGGCTTGCATCGCGGAGTTTGACTTGTTGACAAAAGACAAGAATGCGGTCACATGGAGTGATGTAATCAATCATGTAAGTTTTAGCAAACGAAGATAAAAGTTTGGGTAACAAGGGTAAACTATCGATTAAAGTTGGCTGCACGCCGTAAACGCTGTTAACTTTGAAACAAAGTTGTTTATAGGAAGTGTTAATTGAAAGCAAATGACTAATGATATCAAGAAATGCAAGCAAATCGATGTTTTCCAGAATAACTAATTAGTCTATCAGAATGGTTCCTTTTTTAATTTCCGCAATACCCAATCTAGAATAAATACCGTAATCCAGCTAATGCAGAGTAAATACCTTATTCTAGACTGAATACCGAATCCAGACTAAATCCCGTAATCCAGCTAATGGAGGTTGAATCCCTTATTCTAGACTGAATACCTTAATCTAGACTAAATACCGTATACCAGCTGATCTAGACTGAATACCCAATCTAGACTAAATACCGTACTTTTTTTTAATTTCCGGTTCAACCTTAACATTGCTAACTTTGAAACAAACATTTCTAACTTGCCAAAATGAAAATGAAACGGTAAATGATAAAATGGGAAAAAATTATTTGATTTGTCACAAATTTCATTGTTACAAGCGGTGATTTGTTTTTTAAACTAATCTTAGAAGATTTATTTTGTTCTTTTTGAAAGAATTGTGGGACATTCTTGGTGTCATTAGATACGCCAAGTCTTCCTCTAATCGGTTGGTACAAAAACTATTCAAATTGGACAGCCAAACACCAAGAAATTTGAGCTCAAAGTTGGATTGCCAATGGCAAAGGGGGCGGGGCGCGGACCTTTTATATGCGCCTCGCCCCTTTTGCCATTGGCAATCCAAATTTGAGATCAAATTTCTTGGTGTTGGGCTGTTCAATTTTAATAGTTTTTGTGCCCATCGACGGAGGAAGACTTGGCGCATCTAATGGTACCGAAATTATTTATAAATTGAACAGCTCAACACCAAGATATTTGAGCTCAAAGTTAGATTGCCAATATCAAATTTTCGATAAGCTTTTAGAAGTACACCACTTGCAACCCAGCCATCCTCAACTACGTCTCAAATGTCGTTGTTCCAGGTGAGAATAAAGAAAATGCGTTAAATGAGCTGTTAATGATTGATTGTTAATGAGTTGAAACCAATGCAAAATTGAGATGAGTATTAATGTTTATGCTAACTTTTGAAGCCGTGTTTTTCACAAATATTTTCAATCCCAATCAAAATAGCTTTACTGTAATTGTTCGCTATCTAATATTGAGTTTTATTTTTTGAAACTTTAGGCTTATTGTTTCAAATCGTTAACATCTACGATCCATTGGTGCCCGAGGGGAAAACGACGGAATTTGAAGCGACAACCGGGGCGGCAGCTGGAGCAAAAGCTGGAGGAGGATTGTTGAACTTGGGTAATATAAAAATAGAGTTTACAATTATGATTCAATTATGATTTAAGATGAAAGATTCAATGTCAGTGTTCAATGTAAATATGCTGGCAATTAATCAGCTCAAACATTCGGAAAAGGAACTGTAAATAAGGAACTAGCTGGAGAATTGTTCCAAAAGCAAGGCCAAATTCATCAATTTCAATCCGGCATACTGTAATGATAAAGGCTAATGTTTTTAACCAAACCGAGCTTTAACTTATGGTAATCTATTCAATATTGGACGTCTGTTATTGAATCTATTCAGTATTGGACGTCCGTTGTTGAATCTATTCAATATTGGACGTCTGTTATTGAATCTATTCAATATTGAATCTGAATAGATTGGTTATTTTAAAGTCAAAGCCTGATGATAAGCTTTCTTTGTAATTTTTTCAGGCGGTATTCTTGGTGGAGTGACTGGAGCGTTGGGTGGAGTCACTGGGACTCTCGACAAAACACTAGGAACAGGGCAATTGTTGAGTAGAGTGACTGGTTTGTTTTGAATGATTTGATAGTTGATATTAATATGAAAATGGGCAATTGGGAATAAGAACAAATATTACAAGTTATAAGCAAAAAATGAAGTTATTATACAGAAAAGTTTGATGACTTTGAGCCATTCAAAAGCAGAATTTGCTTGAAACTTGCTAATTAAGCCATTCAAAAGCAGAATTTGCTTGGAACTTGCTAATTGAGACTTGCTAAGCTTGAGTTAAACTTAATCTTCTTCTCTTCAGTTATAATTTTACTAGTTTTGAAATTTTACTTTCCAAAATGTAGCAATAAACTAAGCAATAACCTAGGCAATAACAAATTCACCAATTAGCTATGGTTTGTTTCATTAGAAAGACTTATTTGCTTTTCAAAGCAATGCTATCTGAAGTCTGAACCTATCGAATGCTTTCACTACGATCTTATCCAGTCCCACCTTCAATTTCATCATAAAAACATTGACAAAATTGTCTGTATCAAATTTTCTTTCTAGGCGCTTTGACGGGAACAGTTAACGGGATCACAGCCACACTCGACCACATCGTGTCAATGAAAGAGATCATCCCAAATCCACCGGTTCGGTTTGAAAATGAAACAAAAACTGACATAATAAGGAGTACAATTCACACACAGATTAAATTAAATCTAAAAACCAAGACTCCACCAGAAAAACATTGAAACATCAACGTTTTCTTTTCAGACGAGCTTGGCGCACGTTTTGAACGTTTTCGACATCGATGAATAGAAATTGGATTGTTTTGTTTAGATAAATAGCATAGAATGAGCACTTTATTGCAAGCATTCAACAATGAAACTTTGGCATAACATTTCACTACGATCAATAAAATACCCGTTTCAAAAAAAGCTTTAAAATCGCTTTAAGCCCAATATTTCTCTTCTGTTTGTGTTTCGCGATCACCTTGTACAAATAAAGCTGTTAACCATGGATACAAGATATAAAAGTTGACCAGGATATAAGAGTGTAGTTATCATCTTTTTGATTGATCATCTTTTATTGATCATCTTTGCCTGATAAAGAGTACAATTTACAATCAAAGTCAGATTTAATTAAATCTAGAAACCAAGACTCCACCGGTAAAACATTGAAACATCAACTTTTTCTTTTCAGACAAGCTTGGCGCACGTTTTGAACGTTTTCGACATCGATGAATAGAAATTGGATTGTTTTGTTTAGATAAATATCATAGAATGAGCACTTTATTGCAAGCATTCAACAATGACACTTTGGCATAACTTTTAAACTAACATTTCACATCGTTCAACAAAATACTCGTTTCAAAAAAGTGACAAAATCAGTTTTAAGCTCAATATATAAGCTCTTCTGTTTGTTCTGTCACCTTGTACAAATAAAGCCGTTAACCATGGATACAAGATATAAAAGTTGACCAGGTATAAGAGTTTAGTTACCGTAACCACTAGTAAATATCCGTACAACTCTGATCAGCCGATTAGTGGGACCTGTTGAGATGTTTGCTCGCCATCTCTACTCGATTCTCTTCCTCATTCTGAGTATTTTTGAGCACAGGTCAAAGTGATGTTTGCAAAAGTATACAATAATAACTATAGTTTCTTCATAACTTTCTTTTTCACATCAGTTAATTTTCAAATATTTCTACAAGAAGAATCATGGCTTCCGGGTAAAGATTTCATTGTTGATTTTGTTGTTGATTTTGTTGTTGATTTTTTGTTGATTTCCTTGTTGATTTTGTTGTTGATTTTGTTATTGATTTTGTTGTTGGCTTTGTTGTTGATTTCCTTGTTGATTTTGTTGTTGAATTTGTTGTTGAATTTGTTGTTGTTTTTGTTGCTGATTTTGTTGTTGACTTTGACTTTGTTGTTGATTTTGTCGTTGATTTTGTCGTTGATTTTGTTGTTGATTTTGTTGTTGAATTTGTTGTTGAATTTGTTGTTGTTTTTGTTGTTGATTTTGTTGTTGATTTTGTCGTTGATTTTGTCGTTGATTTTGTTGTTGATTTTGTTGTTGACTTTATCGTTGACTTTGTTGTTGACTTTGTTGTTGATTTTGTTGAGAAATCTAGGTTCTAGGTTTAACCATCTTTATCGAAAAGCGTTTCCCAAATTTTCTCATTTTAGATATGTTCCTTATGTATGATTCATCGAATTTGAATGATCTGTTTATATAAAATCAACAGAAACATCAATCACACGGTGTTTTCATTCAAATATCAATGAATTTCCGTCATCAATCATACAATTTTCTCGTTCTCTCTCTTGAGTCAGCAAAGGAAATCTCTTTTTTCCTGGTTCCTATCAAATGGTGAGTATTTATTTTCGATTATTAAAGTGAATCTTTATTTATTCTTGAAAACAATGTTATCTTTGTTATCTTTTATTGTTTTACTAGTATTAGCAGCCTTAACTGAAGGTAAATTATCACTAAAGTTTATCAAGAAAGAACAAAAGTAACTCTTAAACGAAAGGGAATTGATTAGGTTGCCAAATTTATTGAGATTAGCCTTGCTTATCGATATTATTGATACAAACGGCGTGCTCATGTTTAACCGTTCAGCTCTCAGTTTCTAGAAAAGCTGTTAGTCTGAAAATTGTTTCATTGGGAAGTCAAAAATGTTAGCTTTTGATTGCTATTTTATAGTGACTTTTAATGAATAATCGAAAATAAATAGGAAAAACCTCATAAACCTCAGCTTATCAAAAACTGATCAACTTATCTTATCATAAACTTATCAATATCAAAAGTATCGATTATCGATAAGCCTATCGATATTTGAGTATCGAAGTATCGATAAGCTTTTTAAGGCACTCATCTATGAGAATTTGCGATGTCTGAGATAGCAATCAAAAGCTGACATTCTTGATTTCCCAATGAAACAATTTTCAGATTGATATCTTTTCTAGAAACCGTGATCTGAACGGTCAAAGTCAAACATGAGCTTGCCGTTTTTATCGATAATATCGATAGGCAAGTCTAGTACTAATTACATACTTATTCGATACTTATTTGATTTTTAATGAAAACTAATCAATACTGCTATAATCTAGCTAGAAGCACGGCCACGAAAACACGTTATTTCCTTGTTTTTGTCTAGATTTCCTGATAGCTTCAGATTTATAAACCAGTTTTAAATCTGAAGTTGTACTGGATGATAAGACTTAGGCTAATATGATGATATTACTCTGGAATTATCTTTAAATGAAGAAAATCTTTCAAAAGTATCGATGATCGATCAGCTTATCGATAAGCATTGATAAGTTTTTAAGGCACTCACCTATGAGAATTTGCGATGTCTGAGATAGCAATCAAAAGCTGACATTCTTGATTTCCCAATGAAACAATTTGCAGACTGATAGCTGTTCTAGAAACCGAGATCTGAACGGTCAAAGTCAAACATGAGCTTGCCGTTTTTATCGATAATATCAATAAGCAAGTCTAGTCTCGGTAAATTTGGCCATCTAAGTCAATTGAACTTTTCTTTTTTAGCATTGTACAGGGTGCGTCATAATTATTGCAACAAGATACTCAAGGCATTGCACACCAAGAAGTTTGACTGGAAGAAGATTTTTAAACAGAAATAGCTTTATTTAACAGTAACAAATAAGGAAACAAGAGATCATTCGATATGACCGCTTTTTGCCTTGATAACAGCCCTTAATCGGTTCGGATATGCCTCCACTGCGGCCCGAATGTCATCTTGAGGAATCGCCTTCCATCCTTTGGTCAAAGACTTCTTCAAAGAATCCAAACTTGTGTGTTTTCCTCTAAGATTGCCCAAATGGAAAAGTCCATCACATTGAGATCCGGTGAGTTTGGAGGCCATTCATCCTTGGTGATCACTGAGGGAAAGTTGGCCACACACCAGTCCTGAACCGTCTTCTTCGTGTGAGCGGGAGTTCCATCTTGCATGAAGGTCCAATTTTGATTGTTATTGGCTTTACACGCCCATGACACGCCTGTTTTCCTGTTTGGAAAACGGTCTTTGAACTCTTGTTGCAATAATTATGACGCACCCTGTAAATAGCATTATTGAAGTTAATAAATTGAGCATTTAACTCAAAATTTTTTCAAATCAAAGCATAAAAATAGAAACTCAAACCTAGGGAAATTATGAATAATTTCCAGGCTACTATCCGTATTCCCTCGAAGTTCAGGTGGAAGAATCTGGAAAGCCAACAATTCTACACAAAAACAAGACCACAGTCACAACCTGAACAAAAGTAACGAAATTGAGCCTAGCCATCGAATATCAGTTTAACCGGAAAGCCATTAATCAATGAATAATTAGCCAATCAACTTCTTTTTTTTGCTTTAAATAAAAATTAACTACCGTATTTTCTCTAATAGTAGTAATACTAATAGTAGTGCACTTTGAGCCTCGCCTAAATTTCTCGAAATCTCGAGAACCGCTTATCAGAACCTATCGATGTGGGGTCGGAAAATGTAGCTGATGATGAGATCTAGTGGGGGATTAGAGTGTTGAGCTTCTGCAAAAGCCTGGGAACCGTAAAATCGTCGCCAACTCGGCTCCGCGGGGTGCACTACTATTAGAGAAAATACGGTAGACCATTTATCTCATTTTTAGGCAAATTTGAGTCCGCTTTAAAACAAATCTGAACGGGAATTCTTGTTTTTTTCGAAAATCTGGCCCCCGTCGTTAACCTTAAAGATCCAAAGATCCAAAATTTGTCTATTTGCTTAACTCTTTATTCTATCTTTTGTCTTTTAACATCAAAATATTAGGTTGGTGCATAAGTCTTTTCGTTTTTTTCGTACTTCTGTTAAAAAGTAACAAATTCACCAATTAATCTATAGTATGCTCTATAAAAAAAGTGTTTTTTTGTTCAATTTGCATCTTTTTAAATGAATTTCGGTTCACTTTCAAGCAAATTCGAGAGTGAAAAACGCCTTTTTCGTAAAAATCTATAAAAAACTCTACGGAAAAATTGGCTGAATGAATTTCTCTGAAATATCAAACTTTTTTTTTTCTCTATCTTTTATCTATTGACACGAAGATAGGTTTTCTTTAGCTAAGGTGTCTAAACCGCATCATCGAGTTAGCCCTTTTTGACTACCCGACTTCATACTCTCAAGAAAATCCAGGCATTCAATATTTTTATTTTTATTCTATTTTTTTATTCTTCGATCTCTTGAAATTTATTGGATAAAAAGTTGAGTTTCAAAATTTTCACCTCTTCTTCGTTTTCTTCAACCACCACCGAGACACCTGCAGCCTAGAAATTTTCAAATAAAAATTGATTTTTTGATTTATTTAACTTTTAAACTTGAATTTTAATCGAATTACGAGAAAAGTGGAGAAAAATTTCTTTTATTTTAGTAAATTTTCGACTTTTAAACTATTAGGTTGAGGCATAAGTGTTTTTGTTCCTTTTCGTCTGCCGTTTCAAGCCAACAAATGCACCAATTAAACTACGGTTGATTTCATTAGAAAAAGCAATTATTTTTCTGCAAAATAACATTAAAACGGGTTTAAAAATATTTAATGCCTGGATTTTCTTGAGAGTATGAAGTCGGGTAGTCAAAAAGGGCTAACTCGATGATGCGGTTTAGACACCTTAGCTAAAGAAAACCTATCTTCGTGTCAATAGATAAAAGATAGAGAAAAAAAACGTTTGATATTTCGCCAAAATTTCAGAGAAATTCATTCAGCCAATTTTTCCGTAGAGTTTTTTATAGATTTTTACGAAAAAGGCGTTTTTCACTCTCGAATTTGCTTGAAAGTGAACCGAAATTCATTTAAAAAGATGCAAATTGAACAAAAAAACACTTTTTTTATAGAGCAAACTATAGATTAATTGGTGAATTTGTTACTTTTTAACAGAAGTACGAAAAAAACGAAAAGACTTATGCATCAACCTAATATTTTGATGTTAAAAGACAAAAGATAGAATAAAGAGTTAAGCAAATAGACAAATTTTGGATCTTTGGATCTTTAAGGTTAACGACGGGGGCCAGATTTTCGAAAAAAACAAGAATTCCCGTTCAGATTTGTTTTAAAGCGGACTCAAATTTGCCTAAAAATGAGATAAATGGTCTACCGTATTTTCTCTAATAGTAGTGCACCCCGCGGAGCCGAGTTGGCGACGATTTTACGGTTCCCAGGCTTTTGCAGAAGCTCAACACTCTAATCCCCCACTAGATCTCATCATCAGCTACATTTTCCGACCCCACATCGATAGGTTCTGATAAGCGGTTCTCGAGATTTCGAGAAATTTAGGCGAGGCTCAAAGTGCACTACTATTAGTATTACTACTATTAGAGAAAATACGGTAGTTAATTTTTATTTAAAGCAAAAAAAGAAGTTGATTGGCTAATTATTCATTGATTAATGGCTTTCCGGTTAAACTGATATTCGATGGCTAGGCTCAATTTCGTTACTTTTGTTCAGGTTGTGACTGTGGCTGGATGTCAACAGAATATCCAAATGGTATCCGGCAACCATCGAGATTCCCTGGAGCTGTTTTAACTCTCGATTTCCCAAAAGTGAGTGATGGCTTGAAAAATTACCGGTAATGAAACTGCCTTAAGAAATCCAGGAAACAAAAAAAGGGGAGTGGGACAAATGCGACCTTTTTTTGCGCACCCGGAAATTTGCGCACCTTTTTTTCCGCACTTAGCCCATTAGCGCATCTTTTTTCGCGTTTTAAAAAAGTTCTAAAAGCTAATATTAACCAATTTCTATTCCAAAAGTTGTTTTTCTAGGTAATTTTAGGGCGTAGAATTCAAATTTTGACATAACAGAGCGTGTGGAACCGATTTGAAAGACAAAACGGCTAGGTCAAATTACAGAAAATTGTTGATTTTTCTCTTTGTATAACTCCGTCCGTTCGCTTCCACGAGATATGCCAAAATTTCGATTCTACGCCCTAAAATTACCTAGAAAAACAACTTTTGGAATAGAAATTGGTTAATATTAGCTTTTAGAGCTTTTTTAAAACGCGAAAAAAGGTGCGCTAATGGGCTAAGTTCGGAAAAAAGGTGCGCAAATGTCCGGATGCGCAAAAAAAACGTCGCATTTGTCCCACTCCCAAAAAAAGCATTTACTTACCTCTTCCGCCTTTTCCACCTTTTCCAGCTTTCAAGCCTAGTGAAATGTCAATATTTAAAGCTAATGAATGAGATTTTTAAAGCTAATGAAGTTTAAAGCAAACAGAGAATAAAGTAAACTACAAAAAGTGCTTTTTATGTCAAGGATTTTCAAATTTTCGAGATTTTAGAATTGTTCTCAAATGTTTTGTGGATGGAAGCCAAGAGAAAATATGAAAATCGGCCAAGAAATCGATTTCTCTTTTCTGGGAAACTATGAGCCAAAAGATCGTTTTTATATTCGAAATTCCACAGGAACGATGAGGTTTTCTTTGAAAAATTAATCGAAAAACTAATAAACCTTTTCAGTTTATTGCCAGAATTTGGGCCATTTAAAAGATTCAAAATGATGATTAATGAGCCATTTATAATTTATTTCGTCGGAAGCGATCAACCAAAAAACGATCGTCATTTGAGCCTCCAATTCGCATATGAAGCCAACATTTGACTATTTTGAATGACAATTAAATTTTGAGGTTTTTTTCTCCTCAAAATCTTTTCTATTTCTGCTTTTCTTTTGCTACATTTCCCAAAAACTGACGAACGATTAAATTGATAAAAAATTGATAAAAAATTGATAAAATCGAGAAAAAAGAGTCGAAATTTGAGCATTAGAAGGAATGTATTGGGTTGGGGAGAATGAGTCGGCGCCGAAAATCAAAAAAATGTCTAAAACTCCTATTCGACTTCGTCAAATAATATGCGTTTGATATGAGTAGAATGGTTAACTAATTCTCTACAAAATGACATTTAAAAGAAAATTCAAACAGCGCCTCCGCTCAAGAAAAAGCCATTTTTTCACAAAAACTACAAACTGTGATCTAGAAAAAACCATTGGTGGGATCTTCCTGCAAATTTGGCAACTTAAGTAATTGAATGTGCTCTATCTTTTTTATATAAACACCAAAGAAGGTTTATGTGAAAGAAACTGTTCAAATGATGAGTCGGACTCTTTGCCATTTTAACCAGCTGCGTTTGGAAGTTCATAAACTCCACGAAAGAAAAGCTTTGTGGAATCTCTCAAAAGTGATTTTGTAGAGAAATAGTGGATCCTTTTGATGAAACCAAACGTATGTTTAAAGAAGGCTTTATGTGTGCAAAAAGTCCCTTTAAAGTTTGGCGCCGACTCATTCTCCCCAACCCAATACTTGAGACAAGGAATGTGAACAAGGAAAAGAACAAGGGACAAGTAAAAATGTGAAAATAGAGTGATGGGCTGTTAGATACGAGCGGGTCGCTTTTCGTCGGGCTATTTTTTTTCACTACTTTGCGCACCTTGTGACAGAAGACCTTCTTGACGGCCTTTCGATGTTTATCATTGCAATGACGATGACGGTATGATCCAAATGAGAATGGAAATGGAGTCGTTAGCTCATTTTCATACAAGCTTTGGGTAGGAGCTGATGGAGCTGGAGTGGGAGCTGGTAGAGTAGCAGGGATGGGTGGAACTGCAGCAGCGACAGCGGCTGGCGATGGAAGAGCTTGAGACTAGAGTGTGCTTCTCTCAAATCATGTTTTTTTAAAAAGTGCTAAACTATTGTCATCTCGCAGTTCATAAGTAGTTATTTTCACTTTTCAAAGTCAAAATGACTTTGGATTATTGCTCAATAACTATTTCTAGTCAATAACTATTGCTTTAGTCGAAGACTTCGAACCAGGAACAATCAAGATAGGAAACACTGGATGACAATAGCAAGGGATAGAGGAATGTGGAAGCAGGTTGTGATCTGCGCAAATAGGAACACCTAAGTGCGAAGACAGATCAAAAAAAAAAAATATTGCTTTCTTCTCTATTTTTTTGCAAACTTGATTTGACATTAATTGATTGATTGAAATTGACGGCATTGAAACTTAATTTGAAATTAAACTTTAGATAATTAGCATAGCAAATATAGAAAAGCATAGAAAATATAGAAAATGAGTAACATCTCAATGAATGGGGTAAAATTTTATTGAAAGTCGACTTTTACTCATAACTTTTTTAGGAATTTCATCTTTTTCTTTTTCGGTTGACCATCTTCTTCCGTTGTTTGTTATTTCTAAAAATAAATTTTTGTTTAAAACGATAAAACTCCGATAAGGGTAAAAAAAGAAGTAAAATTTTCAGAAATAATAAAAGAAAAGCACAAAAAGAGCGTTTAGAAAAGCGGGCTTTTTAGAAAATGACTTTGCTAATGAGCACCTTTTAAGAAAGCATGATTTGAAGGATTTGATTTAGAGGAATACACTTTATTGGAGACCTGAGAGTATCCCTGTGGAGCCTGAGAGTATCCCTGTGGAGCCTGAGAGTATCCCTGTGGAGCCTGAGAGTATCCCTGTGGAGCCTGTGAAGGTGAAGGAGGGGCTGGTGGCTGGTGGAGTTGTTGAATTTGCCCCCTTTTTGCGCTCGATGCGCTCTTTTCTGTTCTGTTAATTACGGGCAACGCGTTGGTTTATCGTTTTTTCTCGTTACGGTTTTTCAAATGTTTGAAATTAAATTTCTAAATTTCCATAAAAATAATTGCAATAACAAGTGAAATCACCATATTTCAAGCTTATTAGCCGATTGTGATACGCAAAAATTTTGTTGATTATGATTGAAGAAGATGTTTTAATAGATGGAAATTAAATCTCAGAATATTAAAGCATCAAGCTGAAAGCTGGACGTCAAAAACCCATACAAAAGACGATACGTCGTTGTTAGTATTGCGATGTACAATCGGTGCTCTCACTTTGCCGCCATTTTTCTTGTGCTAGACGATAGTTTTTTTTTAATTTTTTTATACCATCATTTAGCTCAATTAAAGGGCTACATTTTAATACCAGACTTGCAAGAAGCAAAGGCGCTGGTAAATGGCAATTCTATTCGGCGCAATTTTTGTGGCGGCGTTACACAGTGGCGCAATCTTCATGGTCCCTTTTTTTACACTCTTACAAAACGTGACTTTGATTGATCATCTTTTATTGATAAAGACAACAATTTACGATAAAAGACATATTAATTAAATCTATAAACAAAGAATTCACCAAAAAAACATTGAAACATCAACTTTTTCTTTTCAGACGAGCTTGGAACACCTGTTGAATGTTTTTTCGACATCGATAAATAGAAATTGGATTGTTTTGTTTAGATAAATATTGTAGAATGAGCACTTTTTTGCAAGCATTCAACAATGACACTTTGGCACAACTTTTAAACTAACATTTCACATCGATCAATAAAATACCCGTTTCGTTTCACTATAAAATAGCTTTAAGCCCAATATTTCTCTTCTGTTTCTATTTTTTTAGTGTTTTCATCGATTTTCGACTCAACTTTCGGTCTTTCATCTTCGACACTCAAAAGTTGAAAGCCCTGGAAAAGAAGTTTCGTTCTTGGATCTGATTACATCGAGGCTTAAAAAATTATAGTAAAATCTTTCCCAGAGCTGTCTAAATTGTAACATAAACTCTCTTCTACTCGTGTTGCATTACAAAGCTTAACTTGTTTGACTTATCGCCTCTCCCGAACGAACCTTGTAAAGCCATCCACCTAGCATTGCCCCAATGAGTGGCCCCAACACGGGAATCAGCCAATACCAATGATTCAAGCTTCTGAAACTGGGAAAGGTTTTATCGAATTTTGAGAAACATTCTTAAATACTTTTTCAATTCACTTTTAACGGCTTTACGACGGCTTTACTTATTTTCAAAGTTTTGAGAGCAATCAAAAGGTTGAAGATTGTTTTGTTTCAAAGTGATCGGCTACAAAATTCATTTTGAATGGTTAGTGGATGAAAGAATCTTTTGGGTTGGCCTATAAGTAATCAGTCTTGATCAGTCTTGATCAGATCAGCATGATCTTGATCAGTTTATGATCTTAATCAGTTTATGCTCTTGATCAGTTTATTCCTTTCTTTTCTTTTCTTTCTTCCTTTTTTTCCTATTCTAATCAAGACTGGGATATCGGATTCCAATCCGTTAAACTCGATAAAGCCCAGATCTCTAGCTGATTCAAAATTCAGATTCACGGTAAAACAAGAACTGATCTCAGAGTTGACCGATTCTTGCTCAGATCTCCTAAGCTAAGAAGATTCATTTCTTATGAAAGATCGAAAAGACTTCGTTTCAAAGTAAAGTGTAATAAAACTTATTTTAATTGGTTAATTTATAGACCATTATTTTTTCTGATTCTAATCCAGAGTAACAAAGAACCCTTTCCTATATTATTTTATCAAAAAAATCAAGATTGCCCCAGAAAGATTGTGCATTTATGAGCACAAACGTTTCTCTTAGCTTCTTTGAAGCAAAGCAAATCAATGAAAGTAAATGTATTGAAGTAAACGAAAACGATTTTCCCTCACTTGAACAAATCCTCTCCATATCCGACAGTCCAAAGGAAAAGCCTTGGCCCGAGATCTCTCGCCGGGTTGATCGCGTAACCAGTGTTCATCCCGGAAATAGTTTTTCGAAAATAAAATAGAAATTCTCAATGAAATTTGGGCAATAAGTTGGCGCGTCGAAGTTTCCTAACTATAAGAATCATTATTTAAAATTCTCTAGTTTCAAAATGCTTAACCTGAAGGAACTTGAAGGAGTTCTAATATTATGGTTGTTTGTGGCGTCAAATGTATTCTTAAACTCATAATCGGTGTTGATTCCGATGCATTTTTAGCACTTGCTGATGACTTTAATGTAAAAAGAGACTCTATCAAAGTAAACTGTAAGAATCACCATCTAGATTTTTATCTTTCAAAGCACACAACTTGAAATCAAGTTGAGGACTTTCAATTTCCTCATCAAGGCATGAGGAATCAAAATTTCGATTCAAGAACAATATCAAGAATATCAAGAACTAAGCGGTATATCAAAATCCAGATATTCGAAAAGTTTTAGTTATTTTATCTAGCTAACTAGTAAAGAGCTTTGAACTGTAAGTATTAACTGTAAGTACAAATTTTGAGAGATAAGGAACCAAATTTAGAGAGATAAGGAACCAAATCTGTAGAGATAAGGAACGAAATCTAGAGAGATAAGGAACCAAATTTGTAGAGGTAAGGAACGAAATCTAGAACGATAAGGAACCAAATTTAGAGAGATGAGGAAAAAAATTTAGAGAGATAAGGAACCGACTTTAGAGATATATCAAGAATCGTCACACGATCGTCACATCGCCTCCAACTCGCCTATGAAGCCAACATTTGACTATTTTTAATGACTATTAAATTTTGAGGTGCTTTTTTCTCCTCAAAATGTTTCCTATTTCTGCTTTTCTTTTGCCTCATTTCCCAAAAGCTGACGAAAGATTAAATTGATAAAATCTGATTGACAATGAAAAATCAACTTTTTCTTTTTCAGACGAGCGTGGCACACACAACAGTTTTTTGAAAATAAAAATTGTCAATAAAATTTGAGCAATAAGTTGCTTTGAAGCTTCCTAACTATAAGAATTCATTATTTAAAATTCTCTAGTTTCAAAATGCTTAACCTGAAGGAACTTGAAGGAATTCTAATTTGACGGTTGCTCATGGCCTCAAATGAATTCATTAAACTCATAATCGGTGTTGCTGTTATGCATTTAAGAATTCCGGTTATGCATTTAAGAATTAGCTCTTGAAATTTTGTCAATAGGATTTAACGAACAATAGTTTTGGGCTTAAAAAAGTCAATGTATTAAAGCAAATTATAAGCATTGTTTAAAATTAAAATTGCCCTGTTTCAAAAAGTTCAAAGTTAACTCCCTCTGGAGGAGGCGAGGTCAAATGCCCTGTGGTGTAATGGTTAGCACAGTTGCCCGGAAAGCGAAAGGTCGCAGGTTCCAGTCCAGTGGCGCATAACTTTTTGTTCTGCCCTAGTTCCAACTTCAATTTGAAAGGGTTTAGAGGAAATTTCAATAATTCAGCAGCTATCGCAGTAGCAGTAGCAGCAGAATAAATTGATATTTAAAACAAGTATTTAGTTACCTAAACAAATGCCGATCAGCGTCAACAATCCGCCGATGAAGACTGGCTTTAAAAATTCCGGTATCGCGTTTCTTTTATCGCAGATTGAACCGATGAAAAAGACGAGAATCGTTGTGCCGAGAATCTGAATTTTTTAAGAATTTGGGATTTTTAAGTTGAAAATTTTCACAGTTTTCTTTAGAGGTTTCAAATTTTAAATCGACTCATCCTATCTTCATCCGTTCCACACCAGTTCAACCTTTAATTCATTGCTTTTCTTTAGCACGTTCGGGACGGTTCGGTCCACCGGTGGACGAAGGCCGTCTGGTTCTTGGGACGGTTCTGTCCACCGGTGGACGAAATTGTGGTCCACCGGTTGAGGAAATTGTGGTCGACCGGACGAAACCCCTCCCGCCCCAGAGACAGACGCTCTACCGACTGCGCTATTCTAAGAGAGTCGGAGTTCGGCGACTCTTCTCTTCTCCTCCATATCTCGACTTCTAATTGTCAGATCGACTTCAGGTTGGTTTTAAAATGATCCTTATGAAATTTGGTTATAGAAAACTACAACTTAATTGGTAAACTTTGGTGTAAGAACATAGAGAAAACTTGAGTCAAAGTTGAACTCCCTACCTGGAAGAGCCAATCAACTCAGATGGTCTATAACTCAAGATAAAGAAGTTGAATCAATTTATGGTTGATTTTAAAAGAATCTCCATTAAACCTCTATTGCGCGTATTCCAGTAAAAGGGCCATAACTTTTTGAGATAAAGTCTTATTAAAAAATGATGTTGATATGAAATGTTCATCTAGCTGAGCTCCATTCAATAAAACAAAAATCGTGGAAAACAGACCATTGGAGAAAGAGAAATACGGCGTTTTGTCTCACGAGCCAAAAAGAGCCGATATCTTTTTGAGGCAGTAATATTTTCAAAAACTGATTAGAGATTCGCATTCAGCATGAAATTTTACATATAGGAGGTGTATTTCGGGGCTAATAGCTTTGTTTTTTTAAGAACGGGGGGCTCCACTGGGGCAGTAACGCCGCCTCGTCGCGTAAAAAAACGCCTCGTCGCGAATGTGTTAATCAAATCAAAGCTTAATGGAAAACTTTAAAAACTGTGAAAAAATCAAATCTTTTCTTTTCTAAACAGACCTGATCAATGTATCCACCTGTGATCGAAACATAATTTTGCGGGAAAGTCGTGAAAATGCCGGCTGTACCGTTTTCTCCGAAAACCATTCGCCTCCCACCGTCCACTGACTGGATTCCCTCTAGAAATTGCTGTTATTTCTGAAATTCTTTAACAAACACTTTGAACAATCTATTCAGTTTTTGATTAACTTCAAGAACTCGCCTCTATACTCCAGAAAAGTCAATCCGGCTCCACAGTAGGCCCCAGCGATTTGAGCAAGGGAATAAAGGAGAAATCTCTTGAACGAGATTTGCTTTGTGCTCCACGCAAAGAGGGAAACGGCTGGATTGAGATGTGAGCCTAGAAATGATTATTGTTAAGATTGTTGTTAAGTTTGTTGTTAAGTTTGTTGTTAAGTTTGTTGTTAAGTTTGTTGTTAAGTCTGTTGTTAAGTTTGTTGTTAAGATTGTTGTTGCTGTTGAGTCAAGGCTTTGTTTACTATGTAGTAACTCTCAAGAACAACTTCAACAAGTCTTCCAGGGCGGTCATTTTCGATCAAAGATTTGTCGACTTATCAACAAAGTCAATGAAAAGATTTCTACAAATTTTAATGGATCTTAATTTTTAATTTTTAATAGGATCATTAAAAACGCATTTGCGGTTTAAGAATGCGAAAATTGAAACAGTCATTTTTCAAGCAATAGAATTTTCTCTATAACAAAGCTGCAGGTCAAGAAATTACTGAATTTAATTAAAATTTGGGATCTATTAAATTTTGTTGTATATTATTGTATTTTGCACAGATTATGTTATTAGAATATGCTTAAGCAGACTGAAATTCAAAGGATTGACGTCAAGATTTTCGCCTTCAATATTGACGTCTTCACGGTCCTGGATTGCACTTAGACAATTAAGCCGATGAGATTTCCAGAAATAGAGCAGTTTCCTTTAAAAACTAATAGCAAATTCGAATTCCTCGTCCTCGAAAACCCCTAATTCCAAATTTCCAGCCCAAACAGCCTCAAAAAAGGGCTAAATTCACGTACGGCCAACCGGTGGGTCGTATCGCCTGAAAACCGATGAAATTTCCAGAAATAGTGCAGTTTCCTTTAAAAACTAATAGCAAATTCGAATTCCTCGTCCTCGAAAACCCCTAATTCCAAATTTCCAGCCCAAACAGCCTCAAAAAAGGGCTAAATTCACGTACGGCCAACCGGTGGGTCGTATCGCCTGAAAACCGATGAAATTTCCAGAAATAGAGCAGTTTCCTTTAAAAACTAATAGCAAATTCGAATTCCTCGTCCTCGAAAACCCCTAATTCCAAATTTCCAGCCCAAACAGCCTCAAAAAAGGGCTAAATCCACGTACGGCCAACCGGTGGGTCGTATCGTAATGTGTTAGCCTATTTAATAATATTTAAATTTAAATATATATTTGATTTTAATATATATTCGATTTAAATAGATATTTAAATTTAAATATATATTTTCTTTTGAATAAATAATTAAAACCTAGTCAAATATGTCAAATATGGCAAATTTTTCTACCCGATATCCTCCACGCCAATTGAACGCTCAGCGTTAAGCCGATTGCCCATCCGAAGCACAACGCCAACCAATCGCCTGAAAAGTTTCAAAACATTAAAGGATTTAAGTAAACTGATGGAATATTTTGGATTTGTTTGATAAGTTGATTCGAGATTCGATAGATACATAGATTCGAGATTCGATAATGAATCTCCCCAAATAACGCACCCGATTTCCCCTTTCCCAGCGTGAATTGAGCGTTAGTTGTCGTGCCAAAGAGCTAAATTATTTTGTTATTTGAAATTTTAGAGTCTAGATCTTAGAGTCTAGCTCTTAAAGTTTATGTCATAAAATTGACATTTTTATGGATTGATTGGTAATAGGGGAAGTTGCTTGTCGAATATTTCAATCGGACACGAAGGAGACAGCTTTTGTGTATGACTATATGCTTGGATACTGTTTATTCAGCTACGAAACGGAATATCTTTCATAGAGGAGATTTACAACTTTCAAATAGTTTACATTCAAATAGTATAACATTCATCGATATCAGGGTTTCTATCGTTGGAAATTTATGAAAATTAGTGTTATTGTTATTGCCTAATAGCTTGTGATTGCCTCAATCTTTGCCGTCTAGCAATAGTTACTATCTAAAGATCTCAACTAAGCTAAAAAACGAACTTTTTAAGCCAATAAATTAATAATTTCTGGAAATGCCAACCAAAAGTGTTGTTGTAGCGATGAATTCGGCAATCACGCACTTCCAGAGGTTCGTTAAACGAATCATTGCAAAATTTCTTTATCTGCGAATTATCTGGAATTAATTAAATGCAATTTCAATTTTATTTTTTCAAAAAAATGCTAAAGAGTGAATTGTGCTTAAAAAGATCAAAGTTTTGCTTAAAAATTTCTGTTTTATGTTTTGAGAGGAGAAAAATTTATGCAAAATCGACTTAAAACAAAAAGTCGAAGAGCAAAGGTGGAAAAATATGGGAAATGAAATGAAAATTTTTGAAGTCTATGGCTTGGAAAAACATGTGCACGGTTTTTGAAATTCAAAAACTAAGATTCAAGAGTGAAAAGCAAAAAAAACCGTGTTTCATACAAAATGTTTTTCGAAACAAAATGAAGCGCAGAGGGCGAATGAAACTTCATAATGTTTCCTGAATAATTAAACAATGTGAAGTCAAATTGAACAATGTGAAGTCAAATTGAACAATGTGAAGTCAAATTGAACAATCTGAAGTCAAATTAAACCATCTGAAGTCAAATTAAACAATCTGAGGTCAAATTAAACAATCTGAGGTCAAATTGAACAATCTGAAGTCAAATTAAACAATGTGAAGTCAAATTAAACAATCTGAGGTCAAATTAAACAATCTGAAGTCAAATTAAACAATCTGAGGTCAAATTAAACCATCTGAAGTCAAATTAAACAATCTGAAGTCAAATTAAACAATCTGAGGTCGAATTAAACAATCTGAAGTCAAATTGAACAATCTGAAATCAAATTAAACCATTTGAAGTCAAATTAAACAATCTGAGGTCAAATTAAACAATCTGAGGTCGAATTAAACAATCTGAAGTCAAATTAAACCATCTGAAGTCAAATTAAACCATCTGAAGTCAAATTAAACAATCCGAGGTCAAATTAAACGATCTGAAGTCAAATTAAACAATCTGAGGTCAAATTAAACCATCTGAGGTCAAATTGAACAATCTGAAGTCAAATTAAACAATGTGAAGTCAAATTAAACAATCTGAGGTCAAATTAAACAATCTGAAGTCAAATTAAACGATCTGAAGTCAAATTAAACAATCTGAAAAGTAACGTTTCTTTTGAACAGAATTCAATGTCATTATTTTTCGAAATTTGATGGTCAACCAATAGGAAAAGTTCTCCAAAATGAAAACTGAAATGAAAACCAAATTTCGAAATAATTTCTCCCATTTTTATGATTAATTTTTTGATTATGCTCATATTTAGCTTTTTTTGGATCGTTTCAAATCAATAAATCTAGTGAAAATCTAGGGAAATCCGGGCAAGAAAAAGTGAAAGTGTTTTCCATTTTTCGAGGAAATGTTTGTTCGTGATCATGATCATAATCGTTCATCAAATTGTTCTCATTTCAAAGTTGACGACTCAAATGATGATGAAGTTTTAAACAAGATGAAATCTATCTTTCAAACAATGAAAAAAAAGTAGAACAAATTGCACTGCTTTTTTGAAAACTACAAAACGATTAACATATAAAATGATATTTTATTTATCTGCTTTAGTTTTACTCAACCATTTCTTTTCATTTACAGATTTTTCGAAGAAAAAGGATACCAAGAATACCCAAGAATACCCAAGAATACCCAAGAATACCCAAGAATACCCAAGAATACCCAAGAATACCCAAGAATACCCAAGAATACCCAAAAATACCCAAAAATACCCAAAAATACCCAAAAATACCCAAAAATACCCAAAAATATCCAAAAATATCCAAAAATACCCAAAAATACCCAAAAATATCCAAAAATACCCAAAAATATCCAAAAATATCCAAAAATATCCAAAAAAACAAGGCTAAGTTGTGTGAAAACGAACCAGTGAATTAACCTTAGTTGAAAGCCAATGAAGTTAAATAAATTGAAACACGAAAAATGAAAACGATTCCTTTTCCTGAAATTAACAAATAATGCGTGAAAAGACTTTTATGACCATTCTTCCAAGAAGTTTTTAGTTTCTTTTTTTTTAAATTTTCACTTTTCCACGTGTTCTCACTTTGTTTTATTCTCCTTTTGCTCAATTTTTGTGTAGGAAAGAGAATTTACAGCTAAACTCCTCCAAAATTTTCTCTCTTTTTGAGAGAATCCCCTTATCAAAAGGAATTATTTATGACATTCGGGAAATTGAGATTTTAGATCGGTTTTAAAATTTGGTGTGCTGCAAAGTTTAGGTAAAAATGAGGATTTAAAGTTAATGGGGGTTAAACGGTTGTTTAATTATCATAGATTGTAGAGATTGTATTGTATTATTGTACTGTATCATTGTATTGTACTGTATCATTGTATTGTACTGTATCATTGTATTGTACTGTATCGTAGTATTGTACTGTATCGTAGTATTGTACTGTATCGTAGTATTGTACTGTATCATTGTATTGTACTGTATCATTGTATTGTACTGTATCATTGTATTGTACTGTATCGTAGTATTGTACTGTATCGTAGTATTGTACTGTATCGTAGTATTGTACTGTATCATTGTATTGTACTGTATCATTGTATTGTACTATATCATTGTATTGTACTATATCATTGTATTGTACTGTATCATTGTATTGTACTATATCATTGTATTGTACTATATCATTGTATTGTACTATATCATTGTATTGTACTGTATCATTGTATTGTACTGTATCATTGTATTGTACTGTATCATTGTATTGTACTATATCATTGTATTGTACTGTATCATTGTATTGTACTATATCATTGTATTGTACTATATCATTGTATTGTACTGTATCATTGTATTGTACTGTATCGTAGTATTGTACTGTATCGTAGTATTGTACTGTATCGTAGTATTGTACTGTATCATTGTATTGTACTGTATCATTGTATTGTACTATATCATTGTATTGTACTATATCATTGTATTGTACTGTATCATTGTATTGTACTATATCATTGTATTGTACTATATCATTGTATTGTACTATATCATTGTATTGTACTGTATCATTGTATTGTACTGTATCATTGTATTGTACTGTATCATTGTATTGTACTATATCATTGTATTGTACTGTATCATTGTATTGTACTATATCATTGTATTGTACTGTATCATTGTATTGTACTGTATAATTGCATTGTACTGTATCATTGTATTCCTTGTAGAGCCTTGTTTTGAGCTAATTTGTTAACTTTCTTTTCATCTTTTGTAGCTAAGATCCAGCGACAGTTTATAGAGTTTCAAATGGAAAATTTTTTTCTTAAAAAGTTTTTCTTGGGAATGATGTTTCAAAGTTGAGAATGACAAATCATTCGTTTACAATTTAGTGCTGTAGAATTTTTTTGACGATTAAATTATGAAGAGTGTTTTTTTCACGTTTTCATTCCACTGAACTCAAACAAAAACCGCATACTGTATTTTCTCTAATAGTAGTGCACCCTGAGCGTCGCCTAAATTGCTCGAAATCTCGAAAATCGCTTACCAGAACCTATCGATGTGGGGTCGGAAAATGTAGCTGACGATGAGATCTAGTGGGGGATTTGAGTGTTGAGGTTCTGTGAAAACTTTGAAAGCCGTAAAATAGTCATCAACTCGGCTGGCTGGGGTGCACTACTATTAGAGAGAATACGGTAACTTTTTTAGTTATATCTTAAAAAAAACATTTAAAATCTATAACCAAATCGACGTAAAAGCAAACTTTGTAAAAATTTCTTTGATAATTAGTGAAAAGGTTGCTAAAAAGCTAACAATTCGGCCGGAAGCTTTGACTGACAAAACTTGGAAAACTGTCTAATATTTTTATCGAATTTTATCGAAGAAGTTTCTCTTTATGTTAAAAAGTATCAAATTGTATTAGCAAAAAAATGAATCTGACAGTTTAACCAATTGGATGAGACTCTAAAGTACGAGCTTCGGGGAATCCTGTTCTCTAACCGCTTCTATAAAACAAAGTTTATAACATAATAAAATAAACATAATTGGAGTTGAAATTAGAATTGAAATACAATGTATACAATGACTACAAATGAATACAATAAAAATACAAATTGAATAAAACCATCACATCACAGATTTTCTTATACTGGTAATACTGGTGCGACCACAGAGCTCACAAAAATTGTGATAACTCAAGATCTAAAGAAGTTATTCAAAAACTGTCATAAGATTTATAATTCTGTAAAAGATTAGCTATCTTTTAGCTATACTTATGAAATAAAATCAACCAGAGCTCGTATGCTATGGGGAAAATTTCCCGCGACATCTCTGATCTTTACAGCGGCAGCTTTGATCTTTCCAGTATCTTTGAATCTTTGAACTTTCTGATCTTTGAACGTTCATGGTTTTCCCACAGAAAGTACGAGACTAAAGTACGAGCTTCTAGAAAATTCCCGGTAAAACTTTTCGAGGAAAAGTCCGCTTTGGGGGGAAACTATAGACGTTTTACCGAAAAGATCAAAGGACAGAGAACAGAGAAGTCGCGAGAACTTTTCTCAGAGCTTAGCATACGGACTCAGGAAACTTTTAGAGATTCTAAAAAGGGCAAATTCTAAAAAAAACTCTACAGGATGTGGCAAAAGTTCTGTCCTTTTTGTTCTGTTCTTTTTGTTCTGTTCTTTTTCGTCTATTCTTTTTGTTCTGTTCTGACCAAAAAGGACAGAACTTTTGCCATATTCTGTAGAGTTTATTTTAGAATCATTGTAACAAAGATGATGTTTTTTAGAGAAGTTTAGGTGAATTTTCTTATTCAAAAACGTTTGAGAAAGGAATGAGAAAGAAATGAGAAAGAAAAGACCAAAATTTAACCAAAAAACGACTCAGGTAGCTCTTCACAGCACACAGGAAATTCCGACTTTAAAGTCCTCGGCAAAATGATGTGAATGTTGTTTGTCCACGCAAGCACTCGACGTTTTCCACCAGTTTGAGTCTCGATAAAATTCGGAAAACATTTTCGAAGCAATTCGCTAACTACTTGCTCACTTTGCTTTTGTCTCTTCAAATAATCTAAAGCGATTCCAAATTTCACTTTTTCTTTAGCCATCACTCTTTTAGATTTCCAGAAAAGTACTTGCAAAGTGTTGAAATTTTTCGCTTTTCTCAAATCGACTTGAACTTTATGCTTCAACCATTGTGAACTCAATGTAGAAAAATCGTTTAGCTTGTTTAGCTCAACATTTAGACACAAATCACGACATTCAGATGGCATTGTGAGGTTATGATAGCTGTCATCAGAAAGCCACAAGTTTACACTGTAAGCTCGAAATTTTCGAAGGGCCAGCTGCACCCAATTCATCTCTTTGTATTTCTCAAACTCGAATGTTAGAATCAATTTCTCAATGTGGATATTCTTTTTTGCAAAAGCTTTGATCAATTTGCTAATCGTGAAAGCGGGGGTCATATTTGACAGAGTTTTTATGAAAATCGATTGATTGCTTAGCTCTTCGGCTTTTTCATAACGCCCGTTTTTTCCTTCGCAAATTATTTCGTGATTTTCGGTCGTGATTTTTGAATAAATTCCTTTGTTCAGCGAATCGAGATTCTCGTAAAGATTATCGAATCGCTTGTTGGTCAGACAGAAACGTCGCCGATCTCGATGCGGTAAATATTGGAGAATTTGAACGACGATTTCTCCTGGCAGAGATTGAACGACGATTTCTTCTGGCAGAATTTGAACGACGATTTCTCCCGGCAGCATTTGAACGACGCTTTCTTCTGGCAGAGTTTCAACGACGATTTCTTCTGGCAGAATTTGAACGACGCTTTCTTTTGGCAGAATTTGAACGACGCTTTCTTCTGGCAGAGTTTCAACGACGATTTCTTCTGGCAGAATTTGAACGACGCTTTCTTTTGGCAGAATTTGAACGACGCTTTCTTCTGGCAGAATTTGAATAGCGATTTCTCCTGGCAGAGATTGAACAGCGATTTCTTCTGGCAGAATTTGAACGACGATTTCTCCTGGCAGAATTTGAACGACGATTTCTTCTGGCAGAATTTGAACGGCGATTTCTTCTGGCAGAGATTGAACAACGATTTCTTCTGACGATTTCCTCTGACAGATTGAAATCCCCGGCTTAGGCATCGTTTGAAATAAGCAAAAATTGGAAAGATAAACGAAAAATGAAACTAAAAATGAAGCTAAAGTTAGCCCTTACAAACATCTGCTTAACAATCAATCCAATCTTAGCCAATGGGTAAATTGGGATTGAGAATTGTTCGAATGTTAGCTAATTTCCGGTAATGATGAAAATATCGGAAATGAGTGGATGTTTAAAGCCATAGTGAATGCAAAAACGATAAAAACTAACCATAACCAAAAACGATAAAAACTATTGTGAGTTTTTGCCGAAATTTAGTCTACTGCAGTAACTTTTAGATTTCGAGATAAACTTGCTTGCTTGCTTTGAGAAAAAACTTGCTATTTTTTATTTCTTCATGGTCAGCTTGTTGTTCTATAAAGTCGAAAATAAATAATCGAATCGGAAGAAATCGAAAATGCACGAAAACAATTGAATTGATCGAAGAAAACCCATCGTTTTCCATCCATGGATGGGAGTTGATACGAGAAAAAGTCAAGTTTAACTTCAAGTCTTCAAGTCTCTAATTTTCACAGTTTATTCTCGACAACCACCGTCATTGGAGGAGACGAGAGTCGACGAAAAAGACGACGAAAATTGTCGACTTCTCAAAGACGAACTGTCTTCGAGTGTCTAAATATGAGCTAGTGCATTCCTCAAAGGAAATCACCGTTTGTGGCGATGATCTCCGTGAATCTCCTCCGTCAATTCACTGTCATTCTGTCTCTCGCCTCTCAATCGACAATTTTGCAATCAAGTATTGTAAGGGGAACACTCTTTTCTTGAAAATCACCAATTCAGACTACAGAATTCGACAGTCGAACTCTACATTTGCCGCTTTGAATTGCAAATGTCGGCTCTATATGGAATTTATGGGAATTGGAAAAAAAGCTCGACATAGTTTTCCGCCTTTATAGAATTAACTATGAGAAATACTCCTCGTTCCTTATTCACAAAGGTTCTCTGAATTTAACCTTACCTCTTTACAGCATCGTCGCCCATTTCATTGTTTCCGACCCCACAGAGTCTTATAGAGCACCACTTTTTGTAAATTTTTATCCCCCTATAGCTAGATTCGTTACCAGGAAAGGTCGAAATCTTTTGAAATCGAAATCCTCCCATATCTATATTCAATTTGGATTTTCATTGTTTCCGTACCCGTAGTATTAAGTTTTAAAACTTTATACCCCCGCATATACGAGTTAATTGTATTTATCTCATTAATTTTATTTATACGTGTATTTATACCGCCTTGTTCAATAAGAAACTTGAGAATTAATTTGGGATTTGAAGCTTTTTGAAAAATGATGTTTCAATGTTAATGCAGTTAAATAGCTTTCGCAAAATTTAATCTAGATAACGGAAATAAAATTGGGTTGATCGGATGCAGATTCAGACCAAACTAAAAGCTTAATCAACTACCGTATTTTCTCTAATAGTTGGTGGCTATTTTACGGCTTCCAAGCTTTTGCAGAAGCTCAACGCTCTAATCACCCACAAGATCTCATCATCAGCTATATTTTCCGACCCCACATCGATAGGTTCTGATAAGTGGTTCTCGAGGTTTCGAGCAATTTAGGCGAGGCTCAAAGTGCACTACTATTATAGAGAATACGGTATATATTGTTAAAAATGGGCCCCTTTTTTTAGTCGGTCTTTCCTTTCCCATGCTTATCGTATTTTCTCTAATAGTGGTGCATCCCTCCGAACCGAGTTGGTGACGATTTTACGGCTTCCAAGCTTTTGCAGAAGCTCAACACTCAAATCCCCCACTAGATCTCATCGTCAGCTAGATTTTCCGACCCCACATCGATATGTTCTGATAAGCGGTGCTCGAGATTTCGAGCAATTTAGGCAACGCTCAGGGTGCACTACTATTATAGAGAATACGGTATTCAAAATTGCTGTATTTGCCCACCAGCTTCGTGAAGCTAACGTTTACTTTTTGTTTAGTGCATGAGGAAATCATTTTTTTTCTTTCTGGATCCGGTTCTCCAAATGAACAACAGCTCGTTTGCCAAGAAAAAAAACGATCCATTTGACAATCAATGCCGTTTTTTTGCATTTATTACAGAAATCTTTTCGCATTTATTTTTATCATCCCTACTTTTCACTCAATATCCTTCATTCCTTGTTTACCGGAAAGAATGAATTATCAACAATATTATCCATGTTTCGACGAGACTTCAGCCGAAAGAGAAGGTGAGGGAAGTCTCAAAAGTAGTCTCTATAGAAGTCTCAAAAGTAGCATTTTTTCTTTTGAGAAAACTAGTTAACTCGTAGCAGTTTGTATTGGTAAAATATTTTCAATTAATTAAGAAAAAGACAGTTTCATTATATCATTAAAGACTCAAAACCCAAAAGGTATTCTGTCTACTAAGCTGAATATCCATAGTTTTTGCTTCTATTGGGTTGGGGAGAATGAGTCGGCGCCGAACTTTAAAGGGACTTTTTGCACACATAAAGCCTTCTTTAAACATACGTTTGGTTTCATCAAAAGGATCCACTATTTCTCTACAAAATCACTTTTGAGAGATTCCACAAAGCTTTTCTTTCGTGGAGTTTATGAACTTCCAAACGCAGCTGGTTAAAATGGCAAAGAGTCCGACTCATCATTTGAACAGTTTCTTTCACATAAAACTTCTTTGGTGTTTATATAAAAAAGATAGAGCACATTCAATTACTTAAGTTGCCAAATTTGCAGGAAGATCCCACCAATGGTTTTTTTCTAGATGACAGTTTGTAGTTTTTGTGAAAAAATGGCTTTTTCTTGAGCGGAGGCGCTGTTTGAATTTTCTTTTAAATGTCATTTTGTAGAGAATTAGTTAACCATTCTACTGATATCAAACGCATATTATTTGACGAAGTCGAATAGAAGTTTTAGACATTTTTTTCATTTTCGGCGCCGACTCATTCTCCCCAACCCAATATTAGAGGTTCTATTAGAATAAATACGTAACTAGTTATTGAAAAGATCCAGAAGGCAATCAATCATCAATCTTCAATCATCTTAATCGTTTAAGCTAAGCATATTAATTAAAAAAAACAACAAGACTAGCTTTATCTTTAATCTAATAATTCAAGCAACTAAACCTAACAAAAAGGCTTTTAAAATATCACCAAAAATCACTTTATCAAGTAAATCTCTGTGTTTTTAGCGGATTATGAAGATTCGCTTTCTCGGCTCCGCGGTGAGGCATCTCGTTTCGCGAGAACCGGCTTTTACGATCGTTTATTTCGTCGAGGAAACACGTGGAATGGAGATCTATACAATATTCCCACATATGGGTAAGTTGCATTAGAAAAAATTATCGAAAAACAGAAAACACTCATTTTAGATTCAGCGCAAACTACAAGAAAGATGGGCCGTATTGAAATCGGATAATGTTTTCAAGTTTCAAATTGGTTCAGCAATAAAATTTATCGTCATTTATCAAAAAAACTGATTTTGTCAATAAGTAGCCAATTCTGGTAGCTATGGAAAAGTTCATGTTTCAATGTTTTTCTAGTTTATTGAATAAACGTAAAGTTAATCTCTTGATTTTCCCCTTTCGGAATTAAAAGCAATCTTTTTCAAAGCACATCTTTATCTCTGTCACAAAAGTCGATGTTTCAATATTTTCAAGTTTCAATTTCGTTCTTGACTCAATGGCACTTGTATTTCCAATTGTATGCCCGGAGTTTGAAACAGTTAAAACATTCTTTTTACAAGGACTTTTTAGATTAGATTTTAGATTCACTTCATGCTAATTTAAATCAAATTTAGGTGTTAATAAATGAATTGTATTTAGGCTTTAAGTTTAATCAATCAGCGGCAAAAGAAACGCAATACCAGAATTTTTGAAGCCGGTCTTCGTCGGCGGATTGTCGACGCTGATCGGCATGTTTTAAAGATCAAATTTATTCTATAGCTGCTGAATTCTATAGCTGCTAAAATTTTCTCTAAACTCTTTCAAGTTGAACTTTTTGAAGCAGGGTAATTTTTAAACAGTGTTTGATACAGTGACTTTTTTAAGCCCAAAAATATTCTTCGCTAAATCCTTCTGACGAATTTTCAAGAGCTAAAACTGAAATTTTCGGAAAGCACACCGGTCATGAGTTTAAGAATTCATTTGACGCCATAAGCAACTGTGGAACAGGAAATTCTTTAAGTCCTTAAGAGTTGAGCATTTTGAAACACAAACAATTTATGCGGTGATGCTTACAGTTCAAAGCTCTTTACTAGTTAGCTAGATAAAATAACTAAAACTTTTCGAATCTCTGGATTTGGATATACCGGTTAGTTCTTGATACTCTTGAAATTGTTCTTGAGTCGAAATTTTGATTCCTCATGCTGATGAGGATTGATTGATGAGGAAATTGAAAGTCCTCAACTTGATTCAAATTGTGTGCTTTGAAACACAAAAATCTAGGCGGTGATTCTTAGAGTTTACTTTGATAGAGTGTCTTTTTACGTTAAAGTCATCAGCAAATGCTAAAAATGCATCAGAATCAACACCGATTATGAGTTTAAGAATACATTTGACGCCACAAGCAACCATAAAATTAGAACTCCTTCAAATTCCTTCAGGTTAAGCATTTTGAAACTAGAGAATTTTAAATAATGATTCTTATAGTTAGGAAGCTTCGAAGCAACTTATTGCTTAAATTTTATTGACAATTTTTATCTTCGAAAAACTGTTTTCGGAATGCACACTGGTTACGCGATCAACCCGGCGAGAGATCTCGGGCCGAGGCTTTTCCTTTGCACCGTCGGATTTGGAGAGTGATTCAAGTGAGGGACAATCGTTTTGATTTACTTCAAACAGTCGAAGAAGCTAAGACTAGCGTTTTTGCTCATAAATGCAAACACAATCTTTCTGGTGCACTCCTGATTTTTTGATAAAACTATTAGGTTGAACACTAATGTCTTGGTAATAGAAAAGCCTATTTTCTTTGAAAAGTAGCCAATGCATTGACTCACTCCCAATGCCCGTTAAATAAAAGTTTTTCATACTCTTGTTTCCGATCTTTTTTAAATAAAACTTAGTCCACCGTACTTGCGCGAAATCCGCTTTTCTTTCAAAAATTCAAAAAAATTACATACAGGGAAAATGGCTGAACAGATTAGTCTGAAAATTTGAATACTACTTTGAATACACCTAACTTTTCATGCTCTATCTTTTGTAATCCTGTTCCGTTATCAAATTTGACTTTTTTGTACCAAAAAAATGAAATTTCATTTTCCAGGGAATGAACTTGAATGGAAATTCAAAAGAAGAACTTGGATCCGGCTTTACTGTTTGAATTTCATTTTTTGAATCTCAAGAACTCTTCAAAGAATAGTTAATGAAGGAAAGAGTAAAGTTTGAGATTTCATTTTATGTTAAAGTTTTTGAAAAAATCACCAAATACCACCTAAACTTTTTTGTCCACTGTGTCTTTTGTCTACGAACCACTGTCTATTGAAATCTATTGAAGGGTATAAAAAGTGATTTCAAAATCATTGAATCTCTTCCTTTTTAGATCTCTTCTCTCTCTCTTCACTGGCACTTTTCATCCTTTTCTCATTTCTAACAATATCAAAATTTTATAGTTAAAAGTTAGGTGTATTCAAAGTTGAAACATTCTTTTTGCAAGGACCTTTTACTAGATTCACTTTGTGCTAATTTAAATCAAATTCAGGTGTTAATAAATGAATTGTATTTAGGCTTTGAGTTTAATCAATCTGCGACAAGTTTAATCAATACCGGAATTTTTGAAGTCGGTCTTCGTCGGCGGATTGTTGACGCTGATTGGCATTTGTTTATTTATTTGTTGTACAAAATACTTGTTTTAAAGATCAAATTTATTCTATAGCTGCTAAATTAAAAAAATTTAAAAAAGCTGCCGGTCATGAGTTTAAGAATTCGTTGATGTCGAGCGGGGGTGTCGACTCCTAAAAAGAAACGAAATCTATCATTCAATACGGCCTAATTACGAATTGACTGTTACAAGAGCAGCTCCCTGCTTTGTAACAATAAGTTTGTATCAAGATTTGTATCAACAAATCACAACATTAAATCACCCACCTGAAACAGTTCAAAAAATTCAGCGAGATCCTCAAATGGAGTCATCTCGCTAGGCTCAAGCAACCCAACAAGTCTCATGAATGGTGCCACATTCATAAATGAATCTAAAAGTTTCGTCAGAAGGATTTAGCGAAGAATATTTTTGGGCTTAAAAAAGTCACTGTATCAAACACTGTTTAAAAATTACCCTGCTTCAAAAAGTTCAACTTGAAAGAGTTTAGAGAAAATTTTAGCAGCTATAGAATTCAGCAGCTATAGAATAAATTTGATCTTTAAAACATGCCGATCAGCGTCGACAATCCGCCGACGAAGACCGGCTTCAAAAATTCTGGTATTGCGTTTCTTTTGCCGCTGATTGATTAAACTTAAAGCCTAAATACAATTCATTTATTAACACCTAAATTTGATTTAAATTAGCATGAAGTGAATCTAAAATCTAATCTAAAAAGTCCTTGTAAAAAGAATGTTTTAACTGTTTCAAACTCCGGGCATACAATTGGAAATACAAGTGCCATTGAGTCAAGAACGAAATTGAAACTTGAAAATATTGAAACATCGACTTTTGTGACAGAGATAAAGATGTGCTTTGAAAAAAGATTGCTTTTAATTCCGGAAGGGACGGCGAACATCAAGAGATTAACTTTATGTTTATTCAATAAACTAGAAAAACATTGAAACATGAACTTTTCCATAGCTAACAGAATTGGCTACTTATTGAGAAAATCAGTTTTTTTTGATAAATGACGATAAATTTTATTGCTGAACCAATTTGAAACTTGAAAACATTATCCGATTTCAATACGGCCCATCTTTCTTGTAGTTTGCGTTGAATCTAAAATGAGTGTTTTCTGTTTTTCGATAATTTTTTCTAATGCAACTTACCCATATGTGGGAATATTGTATAGATCTCCATTCCACGTGTTTCCTCGGCGAAATAAACGATCGTAGAAGCCGGTTCTCGCGAAACGAGATGCCTCACCGCGGAGCCGAGAAAGCGAATCTTCATAATCCGCTAAAAACACAGAGATTTACTTGATAAAGTGATTTTTGGTGATATTTTAAAAGCCTTTTTGTTAGGTTTAGTCGCTTGAATTATTGGATTAAAGATAAAGCTAGCCTTGTTGTTTTTTTAATTAATATGCTTAGCTTAAACGATTAAGATGATTGAAGATTGATGACTGATTGCCTTCTGGATTTTTTCAATAACTAGTTACGTATTTATTCTAATAGAGCCTCTAATAGAAGCAAAAACTATGGATACTCAGCTTAGAGACAGAATATTTTGATTTTTGAGTCTTTAATGATATATAAGGCATTTTCTTGAGAAAAATCGCATTCTTTATCATTTATTTTGTATAAGCAGTGGAAATTTTGCTGTAGAATAAATATTAGAATAAATACGGTAGTTGAAAAGTGACAGGGTTAAGGCTTTGCGTTATCGACGGTTGATTAAGGATTGCTGGTTTCATGAGCTTGTTTTTGAAAATGTCTTTTTTTAATCCATTGAAAATGTCTTACCAATACAAACTGCTACGAGTTAACTAGTTTTCTAGTAAAAAAGCTAGTAAAAAATGCTACTTTCGAGACTTCTATAATCTGTAAGACTAACAAATGGAAACTTGGGGCAAAAAAAGAGTGCTAAACTTGATTGATTGCCTACTGTAAATAATACAGTATTTACGATTGAAGACTTGATTGAAGGGCACTGTCCTCATAAAAAATTGGTCGCCTAAAAAGACAAAGTCACTACTTTTGAAAAAGAGTTAAGCTGAAAAGTGCTTAGAATGGTGTAAATGGACTTACAGATTATAGGAGTCCCGAAAGTAGCCTTATTATAGTATAACTTAGAAGCGTTGGCAATAAAATTTAAAAGAATCTAAAGACTTTTCAAAAATACTTTTTCGAAAAAAGAAATTGTAAGAGGGGATCTAAGAAACGTTTTAGCGCGCAGAAAGTCTTCCAGACGTGATTTTTCTCTTCAAACTCTTATAACTTTTTTGTGAGTTGACCAATTAATAAGATTTTGGTCTCAAAATGACCGCAGAAAACATTTTGACAAAGTCTACTCCCTGGCCTTCCCTAATTATTTTGTTATGATCGAGTAATGGAGGGTGAAATGTAGGTGAGTTTGGCCGTTTCTCTGGAAAATGATCGATTATTTTGATAAAATGCGATTTAAAAAAATCTACAAGACGGATTTTGATAATTTTTTTTCACCATTGAATTCAGCACATTTTTTTGCGTTGAATGACTTTTTCTAAACGTAAAAATTCTATCGAAAACAATTTTTTTCCTTATTTCGCGCGGATTTGGGGGATCCTT